GACCCCCATGATTGGTCTGGTGTCGGGAGGAGGATATTGGCATAGATCCTGAAAAATGCACGTGTTGTCTTGGAAGGCAGACACCTCTTTCTCTCTCTCCCCACTGCCCCCCAACTATAACACACATATTCTCTCTATATAAAACACTTCAAGAAAGGGGGTGCTAGCCTTTAGCAGGAGCAGTGGGCCACCTCTGTAGGCACAGATGGTTCGGGAGAATCTGGGGATTCTAGTTCTTTTGTTTGTTTTTGTTTTTGAGACAGTGGTTTCTCACGCCCACCCTGGGGTCTTCAGTTCAGCTGGTCGGTGGTGATTCAGCTCTGAAATCTCAATTTAGGGTCCATTTCCTCAGACCACTTCTGAGAGCAACTCTCTTGGGTAGAGATCTCTGGGAAACTGGGTTTGCACCCCCAACTCCATCAATCCTTGAATGGGGGTGGCTATAGGGAGCGGAGGGCACAGCAGGCCCCTTTGGCTAAGTCTCCCCAGAAGGGAACCTGGCTGTGAGCCCACAGGGAGCACTGCTCCTGGCAGCTGGGGCAGCGTGGGCCTCAGCCCTGAGTGGCACAGCACCCACCACAGGGGCCAAGGCCACCATAGCTGAGAGGGTCACTCCTTTTTTTTTTTTTTGAGATGGAGTCTTGCTCTGTCTTCTAGGCTGGAGTGCAGTGGCATGATCTGGGCTCACTGCAAGCTCTGCTTCCCAGGTTCACGCCATTCTTCTGCCTCAGCCTCTGAGTACCTGGGACTACAGGTGCCCACCACCACGCTTGGCTAATTTTTTGTATTTCTAGTAGAGACGCGGTTTCACCATGTTAGCCAGGACGGTCTTGATCTCCTGACCTCGTGATCCGTCTGCCTCGCCCCTTCCCCGAGTGCTGGGATTACAGGCATAAGCCACCGCGCCCAGCCAGGTTTTGTTTCTGGCGCCCGGCCACGCCACTCCTTTTTAAAGACTTCCTCCTTCAGGCACCCAAACGTTCATGCAGCCAGTATTCATGGGGTGCCCCGAGGAGACATATGGACCGTGTCCCAGCCTTCCGGGACCTTGAGCAGTAGCTGGGGAGAGTCATGCCCTTGTTTAAGCATGGGCCAGGGGGAGCTGGACAGCACTGCTGGAGGTTGGAGGAGGACCCCTGGGGTCAGTAGAAGCCAACTGCAGGCTTTCAGGTAGTGGCAGCTGGGATATTTCAGGTTGCAGGGTTCAGTCAATTAACCTTCAACAAAAGTGCCAAGACGCCAGACGTGGTGGCTCACACCTGTAATTTTGGTACTTTAGGAGGCTGAGGTGAGAGGATAGCTTGACCCCAGGAGTTTCAGAGTAGCTTAGACAATATAGCAACATCCTATCTCTACAAAAAAATTTAAAAATTAGCTGATGGCCAGGCGCAGTGGCTCACGCTTGTGATCCCAGCATTTTGGGAGGCTGAGGCAGGTGAATCATTTGAGATCAGGAGTTTGAGACCAGCCTGGCCAACTTGGCAAAACCCTGTCTCTACGAAAAATACAAAAAAATTAGCCGGGCGTGGTGGAGCATGCCTGTAGTCCCAGCTACTCGGGAGACTGAGGCAGGAGAATCGCTTAAACCTGGGAAATGGAGGTTGCAGTGAGCCGAGATTGCACTACTGCACTCCAGCCTGAGCAACAGAGAGAGACTTCGTCCCAAAAACAAACAGACAAAAAATTATCTGAGCATGGTGGCACACGCCTGTAATTCCAGCTACTCCAGAGGCTGTGGTATGAGGATTGCTTGAGCCCAGGAACTTGGGGTTACAGTGAGCTATGATCATGTCATTGCACTCCAGCCTTGGATGCAGGGCAAGTGACACTCTGCCTCAGGAAAAAAAAAAAAAAAAAGAAAAATGCCAAGAGCACACAATGGGGAAATGATGATTTCTTCAATAAATGGTGTTGGGAGAACTAGATCCATATGCAAAAGAATGAAACCAGACCCTCATCTTGCACCACATACAAAAACCAACTCAAAATGATTAAAGACTTAAATGTCAGACCCCAAACTATAAAACCCTAGAAGAAAACGTAGGGAAAAACCTTCGCGACAGTAGTCTGGGCAATGATTTTTGACTATGACCCCAAAAGTACAGGCAGTGAAAGCAGAAACAGACAAATGGGATAACATCAAACTAAAAAGATAATATCTGCAGAGCAAAGGAAACAATCAGCAGAGTGAAGAGACAATGAGCAGAATGGGAGAAAATATTTGCAAACCATACATCTGATAAATGTTAAATCCAAAGTATATAAAGAACTCAAACAAGTCCATGGCAAGGAGAGCAAATAACCCAATTCAAAAATAGGCAAAGGACCCGAATAGGCATTTCTCAAAAGAAGGTACACAAATCAATGGCCAACAGGCATATGATGAAAAGAAACCAGGCACATTCCTCCATATATCTCCCAACTTCCTGAGCCCAGCACAAACACAACACACCATATATCACTCTCAACTTCCTGAGCCCAGCACAAACACATTCCTCTATCTCTCTCTCAACTTTAGAAAAACACCACCTGGGAAATCTCCGATAAGGGCACAGCGGGAACCAATAAAAAACGCTAAATGTATAATGTTAACCAATTGTAATGTTGTAACCAAAAGAATTCCCTTGTTCCCCTGTAACTTTACATATCCTGTTTACATCGGGCTGTAAAAAGCAAACACTCGCATTGTTCGGGGCCCTCTTGTATGCTGTGGAATGGAGGGGCCAAGTTCGAACTTGCAGTAAAAGATCCTTGCCGCTTGGCTTTGACTCTGGACTCTGGTGGTCTTCTTTGGGGAACAAACGGTCTGGGTATAACAATGAAAGAATGTTCAGTATTACCAATCATCAGGAAAAGGCAAATAAAAACCACAAGGCATTGTTATCTCACAGAAAGTTATGATCAGAGAGACAAAGGATTACAATGTTGGTGAGGATATGGGGAAAGGGAACCCCAAACACTGTTGATGGGGATGGGAATTAGTGCAGCCATTACTGAAAACAATATAAAGATTCCTCAAAGAACTACAAACAGAACTACCTTATTTTATTTATGTATTTATTTATTTTTGAGACCAAGTCTTTTTTTTTTTTTTTTTGAGACGGAGTCTCGCTCTGTCGCCCAGGCTGGAGTGCAGTGGCCGGATCTCAGCTCACTGCAAGCTCCGCCTCCCGGGTTCACGCCATTCTCCTGCCTCAGCCTCCTGAGTAGCTGGGACTACAGGCGCCCACCACCTCGCCCGGCTAGTTTTTTGTATTTTTTTAGTAGAGACGGGGTTTCACCGTGTTAGCCAGGATGGTCTCGATCTCCCGACCTCGTGATCCGCCCGTCTCGGCCTCCCAAAGTGCTGGGATTACAGGCTTGAGCCACCGCGCCCGGCAAGACCAAGTCTTTTTTGCCCAGGCTGGAATGCAGTGGCGTGATCTCAGCTCACTGCAACCTCCATCTCCTGATTTTGAGTGATTCTCCTGCCTCAGCCTCCCGAGTAGCTGGGACTACAGGCGCATGCCACCATGGCTGGCTAATTTTTGTATTTTTAGTAGAGACGGGGTTTCACTACATTGGCCAGGCTGGTCTCAAACTCTGGACCTCAAGTAATCTACCCGCCTCGGCCTCCCAAAGTGCTGGGATTATAGGCATGAGCCACTGCACCTGGCCAAAAAATAGAACTACCTTATGATCCAGCAGTCCCACTTCTGGGTAGATGCCTAAAGGATATGAAATCAGTATGTCAAAGAGGTAATTGAACTCCCATGGTCATCCCAGCATTATTCACAATGGCCAAGACATGGTATGAACCTAAGTGTCCATTAGCACATAAATGGAATACAGAAAATGTGGGATTTACGCACCATGGAATATGAGTCAGCCTTAAAGAGGAAAATTCTGCCATTTTCTTGGATGGATGAACATAGAGGACATTATGTTAAATGAAATAAGCCAGCCAGGCGCAGTGGCTCACGCCTGTAATCCCAGCACTTTGGGAGGCTGAGGCGGGTGGATGACTTGAGGTCAGGAGTTCAAGACCAGCCTGGCCAACATGGTGAAACCCCATCTCTACTAAAAATACAAAAATTAGCCAGCCGTGGTGGTGGGCACCTGTAATCCAAGCTACTTGGGAGGCTGAGGCAAGAGAATCGCTTAAACCCAGGAGGCAGAAGTTGCAGTGAGCTGAGATCACACCACTGCACTCCAGCCTGGGTGACAGAGCAAGACTCCGTGTCAAAAAACAAAAAAAAGATAAGAAAGAAGGAAATAAACCAGGCACAAAAGGCAAATATTGCATGATCTCAATTCATATGTGGAATCCAAAGTTGAACTCACAGAAGCAGAGAGTAGAATGGTGGTTGCCAGGGACTGGGGAGTGCTTGTGTGTATGAGATGTGGATATGTTGGTTAAAGGGTACAACGTTTTAGTTGGGCAGGCTGAGTAAATCCTGGAGATTAATGTATAGCATGGTAACTGTAGTTAGCAATAATGTATTAATTATATACTTGAAAATTGCTGAGAGAGATCTTACATGGTCTCACTGCAAAAAAAGGTAAGTAGGAGAGGAAATGGATATATTAATTTGCTTCTTTTAATTATTTCACAATCTATATGTAAATGAAAACATCATTTTGTACACTGTAAATATATACAATTTTTATTTTTTTATTTGCCAGTTATACCTTTGTAAAGCTGCAGGGAAGGGGAAGAAAAAATAAATAACATGGCAAAAATATAAAACTAAAGTACAAAAGTAAAATGTGCTCTGTGTAACTTAATCAGTGTGGAGAATATCTACCAGGAGTATAATTAGGGGCTCCCTTGAGACACCCGAAAACCTCCTACCCATGGTGGCCTCTCTTCTCAGATGTGCTTGGGGCCTGTGGTGTGCAGGATCCCCCAGCTCCACCCTCCTGGTGTCATCTTTGCATTGCCTGGGGCAAAGGAAGGGTGTCCTGGGCTGCCTGGGGAGGCAGAATCTTCCACCCCTCACCCAAGAGTGGCTACTTACCAGCAGAGCTTAAGATTGTTGGGAAATCGGCATGGGTAGCTCACGGGCCTTTGATGGATGATGGGATCCAGGCCCCTGCCCCTTCAAAGTCATGGGACCCTCCTGGAAGGGCCTGAGGGCCTGCAAGAGGGAGGGTAGTGAATCTTTCCCTTGCACTGTCCATGGTGGAGAGTTCCAACTATTATGGTCTGCTTGCTATGTATTGCACCCCCATACTCTTTGTGGGACCCAGCGGGCCGTCCAGCTTGCACAAGGCAGACATAAAGATTCAGTACCAGGCCGGGCTCGGTGGCTCAAGCCTGTCATCCCAGCACTTCGGGAGGCTGAGACGGGCGGATCACGAGGTCAGGAGATTGAGACCATCCTGGCTAACACGGCGAAACCCCGTCTCTACTAAAAAATACAAAAAAAAAAAAAAAAAAAAACTAGCCGGGCGAGGTGGCGGGCGTCTGTAGTCCCAGCTACTCCGGAGGCTGAGGCAGGAGAATGGCGTGAATCCGGGAGGCGGAGCTTGCAGTGAGCTGAGATCCGGCCACTGCACTCCAGCCTGGCAACAGAGTGAGACTCCGTCTCAAAAAAAAAAAAAAAAAAAAAAAAGATTCAGTACCGGGGGTGGGGGTGAGAATATCTGAGCTGGATTTCAGAAAGGTGGGGGACTTTCTTTTGTACCACAAGCTGCGGAAGCAGATGCGGCAGTTACAGGAAAGACTTCCTGCTTGTGATGGAACTCTGTTTCTCCTGGGCCTCTTGGGCCTAGTTCCCCTCTCTCCGCCCAGTGGACATGCATTTGCTCCATAGCAACCCCCCCACCCCACTCCTTGTGGATCCAGGGCTGGTGAGCCCATCCGCAGCTCTGCACTTCTCCTCTGACCTGGTATCTGCTCCCCAGCCCTTCCCAAAGCCTGACCCACATCTTGGGCTCTTGGTAGAAATGGAGTTCAGGGTGGGGCTAAGTCAGCCTCCCCAGGCCTTTGTCTCTGGGAATGTCTGCCTCCCGGCGAGGTGAGGCAGGGCCTGGAAGACACATTGGAAGCTTTGTGGCTTCTCTCTCCCGGGGAGAGTCAGGGCCATGGTTATCATTCATTCAGAAACTGTTTATTTCAAAGCATCTCCTGCCAGCCTTTTATGTTTCCAACACTTTCTTTGTTGTGATTTTCTATAGTTGTTTAATCAATTATCTATTTTTTTTTTTTATGAATGACTCTTTTATGTTCTCTGCCTTTCCCTCTGATGCTTTTAGGACTCTGAGAAGCTTAGGGGTAATTTAAGGTACATTGTCCCTCCAGCTGGTACCTGGTCTGGAGCCTTCAGAACTGGAGGCTTCAGACTGCCCTCTGCACCCTCCTGCCCTGGGAGGCCCTGGTTGCAGGTCTTTTATTTGGAGTCAGGAATCCTTAGCTACCTCTTCTTAGGCCTGCTTTCCAAGCACCCCGGATACGCATCCATCCTCCCTCTGTGCGGAGATTGAGGACTCCCCTCGAGGCAGTGTTGGGGCCTCGGGAGATACAGTGTGTGGCATGGAAGAGAGCCCATGGTCCCCAAACACTGCACTGTCCAGGGACCCATGTCCACTCCCTGGCCACCTCCCCTTTCCGTGCGTGTCCACTCCCTGGCCAGCCCCCATGCGTGTCCACTAGCTGGCCACCTCCACCCCGCGCATGTCCACTCCCTGGCCACCTCCCCCCCGTGCATGTCCATTTCCTGGCCACGTCCCCCCCGCGCGTGTCCTCTCCCTGGCCACCTCCCCATCCCCCGCGCGCGTCCGCTCCCTGGCCACCTCCCCACCCCGCGCGCGTCCGCTCCCTGGCCACCTCCCCACCCCGCGCGCGTCCGCTCCCTGGCCACCTCCCCACCCCGCGCGCGTCCGCTCCCTGGCCACCCCCCCCCCCCCCCCCCCCCCCCCCCCCCGCGCGTCCCTCCCTGGCCACCTCCCCACCCCCCGCCGCCGCTCCCTCCCTCCCTCCACCTCCCCCCCCGCCCGTCCTCGCCGTGCCCAGCTCCCTGCCCACGCCTTCCCCACCACCTTGGCCCACACGGTTCCTGCTCTCCATAGGCTGGGGGAGAGATAGGAACCAGCTTCCCCTTTGGGCTGCATTGGCTCAGGGTCCTTGGCAGAACCTCAGGGGCCCGAGGGTTCTCCAGGCCACACCTACCTCTCCCACCACACAGGCAGGCCACTGTCAGACAAGCAGGTTTCTGGCCATGAGGCCCACAGGATACTGCCCCCATGGGACTTTCTGGGGTGGGGGCTGGGGAGCTCTGCTCTTGGGAACAGTGTCCGGAAGGCAGGGCGCTTGGGGTCTGGGTGCTCCTTCCACCACTCCTCAGGCTGACCCCAGCCAGCTCAAAGCTCAGAGAGGGATGGGCCCTTGCAGGAGCCTCTTGGCTCCCAGCTTGGCCATGGTGGGCAGATCAGGGAAGGCGGCCCAGACAGGCTTCCTCCAGTTTGGGAGGACACTCTGCTTTCAGCCACCACAGCATCACCTGCATTTGGTGCAGCACCCCTGAGGGCCTCCCTGTTGTCCTGTGAATGATCCCCCCCCGCGGCGCGCTCTGCTCATCGTTCTGGCCAGCCTTGATGGCCATCTTCCCCATCCCCCCATTCACTGGGTGGCGGATGTTTGCAAATGACAGGGCAGTATGGAAATTGTTTTGTTTTTCTTTATGGGGTTTGATGAACTGTTTAATTAATGCTTGTTCTTGGGAAGGAGGTATGTGTGTGATAAGGACGCGTGTGGACAATCAGGAGAAGGACGGGAATTTGGGAGCCCTAGAAGGAGCGTGATTCAGTGATTCAGTGTCCACTGTCACCCTGGACTATTCCAAGGGACTGTAGTGCCAAATGTCACAGTGGACTGTCCTGCTGAGGTCCTTGGGATGGTGTGAGTCTGGACTGGAGACCACATACTCTGGGAAGTGTAGTGCTGAGAGAAAGGGGATGCATGGAAAACCACAAAAGCTTCTGTGGGTTGGGAGTGGAGTTTCCAGAGTCAGGAAGGTTTCATGAGGCAGGGGTCAGAGGCTGGTGGTGCTCTGGCCAAGGAGCGGGGCAATAAACAGAGAGGAGCCAAGATGGAATCCCTCTGAGGGTGAATCTCCTTGGGGGCTTGTTTTCCCCAGGGAGCATGGGATGGGTCTACATGATGAGTGTCGTTAAATTCCCTCCACTCTCTCTTAGGTGTCTCCCAGCCTCTCGGCCGAGTCTCACACAGCCAGCCCACCTGCAAGGTGCAGTACGGGAGGAAGGGAGGCCGACAGTTAGAAGGGGATGAGCCCTGGCGCCTTTCATCTGGCCTCTGTCTAGGTGACCAAAGCTCACTTGGTCCTGGATATAGTTAGCAGCATGAGGAGTGATGTTCCTAGGACCAGTGGACAGCATGGACATTGCCTCCTAGAAGGTCTTAATTCCTTCTAAAAAATACAAAAAATTATCTGGGCGTGGTGGCAGGCCCCTGTAGTCCCAGCTACTTGGGAGGCTGAGGCAGGAGAATGGCATGAACCTGGGAGGCGGAGCTTGCAGTGAGCTGAGATGGCGCCACTGCACTCCAGCCTGGGCGACAGAGCAAGACTCCATCTCGGGGTGCGAGGGTACGGGGGAAAGACTGACAGCCTGGGCGCAGTGGCTCATGCCTGTAATCCCAGCACTTTAGGAGGCCAAGGCAGGCAGATCACCTGAGGTCAGGAGTTTGAGACCAGCCTGGCCAACATGGTGAAACCCCGTTTCTACTGAAAATACAAAAAATGGGCATAATGGCAGGTGCCTGTAATCCCAGTTACTCAGGAGGCTGAAGCAGGAGAATCATTTGAACCTGGGAGATGGAGGTTGCAGTAAGCCGAGATCATGCCACTGCACTCCAGCCTAGGCAACAGAGCAACACTCCATCTCAGAAAAAAAAAAAAAGAAGAAGAAGAAGAAGAAAAACAAAAAGACTGACAATACCAAATGTTGGCAGGGATATGGAGCAATTTGGGATTCAATATATTGCTGGTGGGAATGAATGATGATGCAGCCACTTTAAAAACAGTATGGTAGTATTTGTAAAGTTAAACATATTCTTACCATACAACCCAACAATTCCAATACAAGAGAAATGAAAACTTTCACAAAGACCTGTAAGTGAATGGTCATAGCAGCATTTTTTTTTTTTTTGAGACAGAGTCTCACTTTGTCACCCAAGCTGGAGTTCGGTGACATGATCTCAGCTCACTGCAAACTCTGCCTCCTGGATTCAAACATTTCTCATGCCTCAGTCTCCTGAGTAGCTAGAATTACAGGTGCACACCACCACGACTGGCTAATTTTTGTATTTTTAGTAGAGACGGGGTTTCACCATGTTGGCCAGGCTGGTCCTGAATCCCTGACCTCAAGTGATCTGCCCACTTCGGCCTCCGGAAGTGCTGGGATTACAGGTGTGAACCACCGTGCCTGGCCAGCAGCATTATTCATAAAAAATAAAAAACTGAAAGCAACCCAAATGTCCATTAACTGATGAATAAACAAATTATACTGTGGAATACCATTCAGCCCACAAAAAGAATGGGGTATTAATATACATGTAACAATATGAATGAATCTCAAAAATATTATAAGAGAAATAATGAAATACAAAAGACTATGTACTGTATGATTCCCTTTATATGAAATTCTAGCCGGGCGCGGTGGCTCATGCCTGCAATTCCAGCACTTTGGGAGGCCGAGGCGGGTGGATCATGATGTCAGGAGATTGAGACCATCCTGGCTAACACGGTGAAACCCCGTCTCTACTAAAAATACAAAAAATTAGCTGGGCGTGGTGGTGGGTGCCTGTAGTCCCAGCTACTCGGGAGGCTGAGGCAGGAGAATGGCATGAACCCAGGAGGCGGAGCTTGCAGTGAGCCGAGATCGCGCCACTGCACTGGGTGACAGAGCGAGACTCCGTCTCAAAAAAAAAAAAAAAAAAAAAAAAAAGAAATTCTAGAAGAGGCAAAATTATAATGACAGAAACCAGATTAGTGGCTGCCTGGGGCCAGGGTGGGGAAGGAGATGGGCTGCAAATAAGCAGCAAGAAATGTTGTAGGGTGCAGGGACTGTTCTATATTTTGATTGTGGTGGTGGTAACATAATTGTATATAATTACCAAAATGTATCAACCTGCACACTTAACAGCTATGAATTTTATTGTATGTAAATAATAAAACATAAATTTTAGGTAAAAGAGACCCCCACATCTAGATATACCATGTGCAAACTTCTGGCAAACCAATAATAAAAATAAAATCTTGAAGGCAGCCAGAAACAATAGACAAAAGAACAAAGAATTACAGAGGACTTTTATTCAGAAACTATGCAAGCCAGAAGTCAATGGAGTAACATCCTTAAAGTACTGAAAAACAAAAACAAAAACAGTCAATCTAAAATTCTATACTTTTTGTTTTTGTTTGTTTTGTTTTTTAAAGACAGAGTCTTGCTCTGTTGCCCAGGCTGGAATGCAGTGATGCGATCTTGGCTCACTGCAACCTCCACCCCCTGGGTTCAAGCAATTCTTGTGCTTCTGCCTTCCAAGTAGCTGGGGTTACAGGCACACACCACCATGCCTAGCTAATTTTTATACTTTTAGTAGAGACAGGGTTTCACCATGTTGGCCAGGCTGGTCTCAAACTCCCGACCTTAAGTGATCTGCCTGCCTCAGCCTCCCAAAGTGCTGGGGTTATAGGCATGAGCCACTGCACCCCTAGAATTCTTTTTTTTGAGATGGAGTCTCACTCTGTCACCCAGGCTGGAGTGCAGTGGTGTGATCTCGGCTCACTGCAACCTCTGTCTCCTGGGTTCAAGCGATTCTCCTGCCTCAGCCTCCCTAGTAGCTGGGATTACAGTTGCCCGCCTCTACACCCAGCTAATATTTTGTATTTTTAGTAGAGATGGGGTTTCACCATGTTGGTTAGGCTGGTCTCGAACTCCTGACCTCAGGTGATACACCTGCCTCGGCCTCCCAACCCTAGAATTCTGTACTTCTATGCTTAATAAATATTTGTGGCTGAATTTATTGGAGGTGGTTATAGGGGGACATGGAAGGAAAACTATAAAAATGCAATTTAGTATTTGTTGATAAACCACACAGCCTGGCTGGCATTGAAATTGGTTGTCTGTATAACTTTTCCATTACCAGCTGAACTGTGCTAGAAGAAATATTAAAGGAAGTTCTTCAGACAGGAGGGGTATGACACCAGATGGAGATTTAGATCTCCACAAAAAATGAGGAGCCCTGAAAATGGTAAAAATGAAGGTCAATTAAAAAGTTATAATGGGGGCGGTCCGCGCACGCCTGTAATACCAGCACTTTGGGATGCCGATGCGGGCAGATTGCCTGAGGTCAGGAGTTCCAGACCAGCCTGGCCAACATAGTGAAACCCTGTCTCTACTAATAATACAAAAGCGAGGCTGGTGTGGTGTCTGGGGCCTGAAGACCCAGCTACTCAGGAGGCTGAGGCAGGAGAATCACCTGAACCTGGGAGGTGGAGGTTGCAGTGAGCCAAGATCGCGCCACTGCACTCCAGCCTGGAGGACAGTCAGACTCCATCTCAAAACAAACAAACAAACAAAAAAGGCTGGGCGCGATGGCTCAAGCCTGTAATCCTAGCACTTTGGGAGGCCGAGGCGGGCGGATCACGAGGTCAGGAGATCGAGACCATCCTGACTAACAACGGCGAAACCCGTCTCTACTAAAAATACAAAAAAAAAAAAAAAAAAAAGAATTAGCCGGGTGAGGTGGCAGGCGTCTGTAGTCCCAGCTACTCCAGAGGCTGAGGCAGGAGAATGGCGTGAACCCAGGAGACGGAGCTTGCAGTGAGCCGAGATAGTGCCACTGCACTCAAGCCTGGGCGACAGAGTGAGACTCCGCCTCAAAAAAAAAAAAAAAGAGTTATAACGGTGTTCATAAGAAGAACTACAGACCCCAGAGCTCTCAAATCGCTGGAAGGACATCTGCGGTGGGCCTGTGCATGATGCACAGAGGACAGGTGGGAAAGAATCACAGACACCTAGTAAGACAACGGGGCACGGCTTTGTCCCGGTTTCAGAGCACCGACACAACATTTAGTCACCATTTACCTTCCTGGGAGGTAGATTAGGCAGGGGGCACACTAGCCCTGCTTTGTAGGAACAGAAGTAGAGTCTCAGACAAAACAAGTGACTTGCCCAAGAAGCCTTATTAAGTACCAGCCAGGACAGTGTATTTTCTATTCCTTGTGTTTTGGGATAACTTAGTACCGTCCCCTCCGATGAACCAGTGCCTGCAAAAGCCCTTGAGATCTGGGAAACAGGAGGCACAGATCTTGGAGTTTACCTTGTTCTTAATCAGTTCTCAGGCAGTCGCCTCTAACGCGAGCGAATACCCGCTTCCCGAGGCCGTCACTGGGCAGAGGAGGGGCCAGGCGCCGGATCCCAGATCCCCTTTCCCCGCCCCGCCGCGCCACGCCTGCGCGGGCACGGCCGCCCGCCCCCAAACCCCTCCCGCGGAACCCGCAATCCTGCCTGCGCGGGCGCGGGACTGCGGGCAGGGGGAGGGGCATCGCGGCGCGTCCGTTGCTAAGGCCGCGCAGCCCTAGCGACCGAACGCCCTGCGGCGGCCGCGCAGGCGCTGTGGTGGGCTCCGGTGCACTGTGGGATGGAAACCGGAGCGGCGCGTCCTGGCGGGACCGGGCGGCGGCGGCGGGGCCGGCGGCGGCCAGGGACCCGGGCTTAGGCTCGGCCGGGCCGGCTGAGGACGCAGGCGGCCAGCGGGCGGCGGGCGCCGTCATGAACGCGGCGGTGGTGAGGCGGACGCAGGAGGCGCTGGGGAAGGTGATACGGAGGCCGCCGCTGACAGAGAAGCTGCTGAGCAAGCCCCCGTTCCGCTACCTGCACGACATCATCACGGAGGTGGGCGCCGGGTTCCGGGCCCGGCCAGGTGCGGGTCGGGGTTCCGGTGGGCGCCGAGGTCAGGGCCCAGGCCGGGTGGCGCCGGGTGCGAGCCGGGCTCGGGCTCAGGTGCGGGTGGGGGGCCGGGGCTGGGCCAGAGTCGGGGCCCGGGCCGGGTGTGAACCGGGTGTGGGCCGAGCTCGAGGTGCAGGTCGGGGACCCGGTCAGCGCCGAGTGTGAACCGAGTGTGGGCCGGGCTCAGGGTGCAGGTCAGGGGCCGGGTTAGGGCCGAGTGTGGACCGGGTGTGGGCCGGGCTCGGGGTGCAGGTCGGGGACTGGTTCAGGGCCGGGTGTGGGCCGGGCGCAGGGTGCGGGTCGGGGACCGGGGTGAGTTCCGGGGTCGGGGCGAGAGCTCTGTGCGGCCCCTGCCCGGGAGCCCGGCCTGTAGGCCCAATTCCGCGGCGCCCTCCACGCGGAGGTCCTGCCCCTCCCCCGGCTCCGGGCCGCCGCTTACAGGGAGGCTCCGGGCCCTCGGGGACCATTACTTCTTCCCTGCCTACCGTGTGTCTCCTTAGTGCATCTTCCATTCTGCCTGGCAGAGCTGCTTCTGTGACTCCCACCTCATCTAACCCTGCAGAACCCTTCTCACTTGCCCTGAAGCATTTAGCACGTGAAAGGCTAAATCCTGGGAGAATGGAAATAATATTTTTTATACAGCCTTCTGCCCCGAAGTTTCCCTCCATACCACATTTTGGGTGCTTAATAAATGCCTGTGGGTGAATTTAGTGGAGGTGGTGGTAGGGAGACTTGGCAGGAAAAACTAACAGAGCGGCACACCCTGCCCTAAATTGAGATTGGTGGTCTCTGTAGCTTTTCCCCATTTGCAGATGGTGTGCTCCTCAGTGACGGAGACCCTGGCTTGCTTATTAGTATGGCTCTGGTGATCTGCAGTGGGTAAGGTACATAGAAATTGCACAACAAACATCCCCTGTTGAGTGGGACCTGTCAAGGCTTGTGGTAACTCCCTGGTAACTCTTAGGAGCGTCACTGCGGGGGTTGCAGCACCCATTTCCATGGTGGACCCAAGGGCACGTGGGAACTCAGAGGTGTGTTTTGGGATTTAGGATTCAGGTTGGACTTGCAGACTTCCAGGGCCTCATGACCTCACCTGGTGATGGTCCTCAAGCTCTGTTTCTCACTCTTTTCAACAGATTGGGTGCCTTATTCTTGCACAGACTTTGCTTTACTGGGTCTGCCCTCCTACCTTAGCTTATAACTTGTGGGCTGGAGCGTGTGCCTCTGTGTTAAAACAGTGCCTAAAAATGCTCTCGAATCCACCCACATCCCGAGGCACTGCCAGCCCTGGTCACGTCCTCCCAGCTGGTGCAGCACTTACAGCCTGTCCTGGACAGTGTGTGGGGAGGGGACCTGCTGTGTGGATAGCCCGGTGGGAGCGGGACAGTGTGCCGCATCACCACTGTCCCATGAAATAGGCAGGTACCCGTCCTCTGACCGAGAGGGAACAAGAGCCAATGTGAGCCCAGCCAGCTATAGCTGTGGCTGCCAAAACCTTTATTCTCCCAGTCCTGTCTGCCCCACTGAAATGCAGAGCCCTGAAATGCAGAGGGAGGTGCAGGGAGTGTGCCTTATCCTTGTGGGGCAGTAGTGGCGCTCAGCTCACGGTGGCTGTCCAGTCACTACCACATGGTTGGTCAGAGGCATCCTAATGGGAGAGGAGGAAGAATATGGGCTGGGTGCTGTGGCTCACGCCTGTAATCCCAGCACTCTGGGAGGCCAGGGCGGGCCGATCACTTGAGCCCAGGTGTTCAAGACCAGCCTGGCCAACATGGCTGAGTAGGGAAGATTGCTTGAGCCTGGAAGGTTGAGGCTGCAGTGAGCCGTGATTGTACCACTGCACTCCAGCCTGGGTGATAGAGTAAGACCCTGTCTCAAAAAAAAAAAAAAAAAAAAAAAAGGGGATTGCTTTCCTGGCCAGGTAGATAGGGTGCGTGGAACGAGCTGCGTGTTCCCAATTAGGAACTACTGGTCTGCTCTTCTCCCATAGACTTCCTCATCTAATGCCAAAGTTGATTTCTGTCCCTGTGTAAAGATAAATAAATCGTCACCTACTTGATAAAGATGTTAGAATGACTGACACATTGGAAAGGATTTTCAGATAATAGATGGGGAGCCTCTCATGAAAATGCCTTGCTGTCCTGAATATTATACACAAATTATTATATTAGTATTTTAGCTATAGCTAAACTAACCACCCCGTTTCATTAAGCTAAGTGTGGATCCTGTGACGTTAATGTCTCTTGTCACTTACAGTTATTGCTCACAATTTTTTTTTTGTTTTAGAGGGAGTCTTGCTCTGTCACCCAGACTGGAGTGCAGTGGCACAATCTCCACTCACTGCAACTTACGCCTCCCGGGTTCAAGCAATTCTCTTGTTTCAGCCTCCTGAGTAGATGGGACTACAGGCACATGCCACCATGCCCAGTTAATTTTTATATTTTTAGTAGAGATGGGGTTTCGCCACGTTGGCCAGGCTGATCTCGAACTCCTGACCTCAGGTGATCTGCCTGTCTCAGCCTCCCAAAGTGCTGGGATTACAGGTATGAGCTACCACACCCAGCCTATTGCTCACAATTTTAACTGCCAGCATCCTGGGAAAACCTCAACAGGGACAAAATGAAAATGTTCCAGGAATGTTAAATGCAGGATGCTCTTAATATTCTACCTGTCGTCTCAAGAAAAATAGTAGTACAGCTCTTACATAGCGTGGTGTGGAATGAAAACTCTTACATTGATTAATACCTAACTTGATGCAAATTAAGGAGTTGTGGCTTGAATCCAGAGGAGGCTGACGTTAGGATGGGACTGTCTTGTTTGTAAAACACAACTCCCCGTAATAAATATGCTTTATTAGCTGACCTAGGACACACAGCTGTGGGCATACCTGTCCTTACCACATACCATGCAGCCTGCTGGTAAGGGTCCCGGCTGTTCAAAATGCTTGTTGCTACAAATTTTACTGATTTTACAGTAACCTACTACATTTCAAAAATTTTCAATTTGAGAGAACCCACGACCCTGGCTGGGTGTGGGGGTTGAGAGAAACAGAAAAAATCATTGTCCTAAAAGCTGGTTTTAGGGCTAATTAAGAGGTACAGGTTACCTGAGGGAAGGGGTGACTGGGGAGAGAACCAAAGCTATGGGGTGTGGAGCCTGCCATGATCCTAAGAAGTGAGTAGTGACATGTGGTGAGGAGAAAGACCCTTGCAGAACTTCTAGTCTTAGAAAACTAGGCTGAGAAATTCCTTTTCTTTTCTTTTTTTTTTTTTGAGAAAGAGTCTCACTCTGTCGCCCAGGCTGGAGTCCTGTGGTGCGATTCCGGCTTACTCCAACCTCCACCTCCCGGGTTCAAGCAATTCTGTTGCCTCAGTCTTCTGAGTAGCTGGGATTACAGGCATCCGCCACCATGTCTGCCTAATTTTTGTATTTTTAGTAGAGACGGGGGTTTCACCATGTTGGCCAGGCTGGTCTCGAACTCCTGACCTCAAGTGATCCGCCCGCCTCGGCCTTCCAAAGTGCTGGGATTACAGGTATAAGCCACTGTGCCCGACCAAAGTTCCTTTTCTTTTTGGAATCTGTTCCCTCCATTGCACCTGAAGGACTCTTGTAAAAGGCTGTTCCAGGTCCTCCTCGTGGTCCTTCGGCTCAGTTCACGTCCCTGAGTGGCTTCACAGGGCCTCTGTACCAGGCCCCGAGTGTCTCTCTGGCCTCAGGCTCCTGCCGTTGTACATTTCCCTTGCACAGAACTCTGTGGGTCCTGGACCTTGTGTGGACTTTCTTTCTTTTTTTTTCTTCTTTTTTTTGAGACAGAGTCTGGCTCTGTTGCCAGGCTGGAGTGCAGCGGCTCAATGCAATCTCCACTTGCCGGCTTCAAGTGATTCTCCTGCCTCAGCCTCCCATGTAGTTGGGACTATAGGCATGTGCCACCATACTCAACTAATTTTTGTATTTTTAGTGGAGACGGTGTTTCACCATGTTGGCCAGGATGGTCTCAATATCCTGACCTAGTAATCTGTCCACCTCGGCCTCCCAAAGTGCTGGGATTACAGGCATGAGCCACCGCGCCCAGTGTGTGGACTTCCTTATGTCTGGCATGTGCATCTGAAATGCCCCCTTGCCCAACTCTTCTGTAAGCCTGGTCCCCATCTAGGTATGATTCCTCCAGGAGGGGTTCCCTGCCACCCTTGCCCCTCCCAGATTGTGGATTAGGTACCAAGCCTGAGTGCTTCCTTACTACCTGCACGGTGTCATCTTCACCCATCTGTCCACACAGCCAGACTAAGTTCTGAGAGGATCTGGCTGGCTTCTGCCCTGCACAACACGTGTAGTAGACATCAAACATTTCTTGAGTAAGTGGATGATTCAAGTCTGGGCTGCTAGTCAATTCTGACATCTCCCAAGTGTGGAATTGAGTGGATGAGGCTGATGAGGTGGCTGTCTGTGCAGTGACGTGGTGGCCTTTCTTTCTCTCTTGAAGGTGATTAGAATGACTGGTTTCATGAAGGGCCTCTACACAGACGCCGAGATGAAGTCTGATAATGTGAAGGTGGGTTTGAGTCGGGCTTCTCCTGTTAACCCCTCGCCTTAACGGATGGGATTTTTTGTAGGCCGGGTCGTGTGGCGTGTGTCATTTTTCTGTTTTTTTTTTTTTTTTTTTTTTTTTTTTTTTTTTTTTTGGGGTCTGCTTTGCCCACTCCCCCCCCCCCCCCCCCCCCCCCCCCCTCCTGTGCTGCCGCGCCCCGGCTTTTTTTTTTTTTTTGCTTCATGTGGTTGATACCAAGGGTCCAGGTGGAATTCATGGAATTGATATATATACCCTTCCTCATTTCATTTTCTCATTGTGGTAACTGGATCTCATGCTCGTTTTATTCACTGAAAAATGGGATTAGTATTTCAAAGATTAATGCTAGCCTATCAACTAAATTAAAGGCTTTAATGAATTGTTTTTGTTTTGTCAGTAAAAGGTCAGTATTTCTAGATTTGTTATAGATCTAAAAATAGCTTCGTATGTAAACAGAAACTATCTTATGCCTGTAGAACATACTGAAGATAATGCATACTCTTCAAAGTATTGTAATATTTATATTTTCAATGGAAATGTTTCAGGATAAAGATGCAAAAATTAGCTTCCTACAAAAGGCCATAGACGTGGTTGTAATGGTGTCGGGAGAGCCACTGTCAGCCAAACCAGCCCGAATCGTGGCCGGGCATGAGCCTGAAAGAACAAATGAGCTGCTCCAGATAATTGGAAAATGCTGTCTCAACAAGGTACTACTGCTGTCCTGGCATTTTGAACTTACTTAGTACTTGAGTAAAAGGTAGTCGGGGGTGAGGGACTCACATGTGCGGGCGGTTTAGGGAAGGCGTTTCAGTGGCGTCTGTCAAACACTGTGCTTTGAATCTGATCCCACCCCTTCTGGAGCCCCAGAGATACAGGAGGAATAATTTAAAACTGAATGATGAGACAAATAAGGGTATCTTATACGCAAGTTCTGCAAGCTTTCAATATAAAATCGGGAACCCCGCAGGTACTCTGTGCCCGGCTGGTGGCTGGAGGCTGGAGGCCCAGGCTTCCATGCCCTCTGGCTTTCTCCTTTCTGGGGCTCCTTTGAGGACAGGTGGCTGCTTCCAGCCGGGGCTGCAGTGGCTGCAGGAGCACTTTTCTTCTTCCCTGGGTCTTACGAGAGTCTCTCTTCTCTTCCTGCATCTCCAGCCTCTGATATCTGCTTGTCTGTTGCCCTTCCTCTCTCTCTCTTCAACCCTTTCTCTGTCTCTCTCGGTTGCTGTTTCAGTTGTATAGGGAGTAGATTTTTTTCTTCCTGAGCTTTTCACTGTGGGCTAGAAACTTGGGTGTCAGGCCTCAGGCTTCTCTGGTTAGGTCCAGCCTGGGCCATGTTTGCCCAAACGTTGGAGAAGGTCTTTCCCCAGGGTCTTCCTTCTTTTGAAGGCCGAGTGGTCCCCCATGGAGGAGCAGGTTGGACTTGTATTGAGAGTATGATTAATACAGTTTTTCACATACCTAGTGGGTGGTTGGCTGGGGGCTAACCTTAAATGTGACCCAAATGGGAACAGGTAGGTTTCAGCCCCCTCAACAGCAGTGGGTCGTGGAGGTGCATAGTGGTGTCAGACTGACTCCTAGGAGGCCCCCCCGGTGCAGGTCCAGCATACAAACTTAGAGACTTGGAAGCAGATTTTGCCAGTACACTGGCCTCTGTGCCTAGACTCCCAAGCTCCCCTTCCCGGGTCCTTTATGTTGCTCGTCTTTTTAAAAAGCACATCTGGCTCCTATCTCCTCTGCTGAATCTTCTCCGGCTTCCAGTAGCCTTGGGGCCGAGCCAGCTCCATGGCACAGCTTGTGAGCCCCCTGGAGACCTGCTGCTACTTCTTTCCCTTCAGATCCTTCTCTCATTTCCCACACCTGAGCCCTCCACTCCAGTCACCATGCACCCTTGCATTCAGCCCTGGCCCGCTGTCTCCCGTCAGCCTCTTGCCCTGGTGCCTGTTGGCTTCTTGGTGCCTGAGCTGCTTTCCTCCTCCAGCCTCACCCAGCAGCAATGTGGCGTCTGTGAGCGCTTCCTTGAGCCTGGGCCTCTCCTCCCTCCCAGGCCGACTTAGGTGCCCCTGTAGGCTTCCTATAGCCTGTTGTTTAATTGTTGTGTTTGTCTGTGTCCCCAGTACATGGTGTGTCTTCGGCCTAAATGGAGCCTGGCATGTGGCAGTCACTCAGCGTGTGCTTGTGGAATGAGTGCGTTGAGTGAGTGGGACTCCTGACTGGAGGTGTCCTACACTCTGGGTGGCTGTCAGGGATGCTGGAGAAGGAATTTCTGCATTTGACGGGGCTTGAATTAGATCAGTTTTTCCCCCCATAATTTTATTATTATGTTAAAATCCCTATAACATAAAATTTGTCATCTTAACCATGTTGAAGTGTACACTTCAGTGCTGGTAAATTCAGTCATGTGCAGCCATCACCACCTTCCATCTCCAGGACTCTTCTTGCAAAACAGACTCTGTCCCCATGAAACACTAACTTCCTCTTCTCCTGTCCCCCGCCCCTGGCATCCTTCATTGTACTTTCTGTCTCTATGAATCTGACTACTCTAGGGACCTCGGATAAGTGGAGTCATAGAGTGTCCTTTTTTTGACTGGCTTATTTCACTTAATATAACATTCTCAAGATTTATCCATGTTGTGGCATGTATCAGAATTTCATCCCTTTTTAGGGCTGAATAATATTCCATTGTGATGGATATACCATATTTTGTTTATCCACTCAACTGTCAATGGTACAGTTTGCTCCCACGTTTTAGCTATTATGAATAATGCTGCTATGAACATGGATATACAAATATCTCTTCAAGACCCTGTTTTCCATTTTTTTGGATAAATACCCAGAAGGGGAATTATTGGGTCATATGGTAAATCTGTGCTTAATTTTTTGAGGAACTGTTATACTGTTTTCCATAATGGCTGTATCATTTTACATTTCCATCAACAGTGCATGAGAGTTTTAATTTCTCCTTATCCTTGCCAATGCTTGTTGTTTTGTGTTTTTTTAGGAGCAGCATCCTAATGGGTGTGAGGTGGTTAGATAAAATCTTAAGGCACTTATGGCTGGGATTCTACGATCCCATTAGAAGTTTAAGGCATGGGTCAGCTTTATTGACCTTGAACACACACATTCACATTTGACAGCTTGGGTAGACTTGAACCAGGATTCATTTAGCTTGGGTGGATGCTACTGTTAATGACCAAAGTGCTGAAAGTAATAGTTATCAAGATATGCTGTGCTTTGTATGTGATAATAACATGTTCAAAAAATATTTTATCCTTTGAATTTCATTGTAGACAGAGAATCTGTCTCATGAGCTATCTTTCAATGGCGATGTTCTATTTGTTACGTGTGCGGATCTCATTTCACCTAACACCTCATTTCCTTCCATTTGGACGACAAGCTCTCCAGTGACGATGCGGTACGGAGGGTTTTAGCTGGAGAGAAAGGAGAAGTGAAAGGCCGGGCCTCACTGACCTCAAGATCTCAGGAATTGGATAATAAGAATGTGCGAGAAGAGGAGTCCAGAGTTCACAAAAATACAGAGGTGAATTGCAAGTTGCACATCTTTGAAAATGAAATAGTGAGTCTTTTTGTAGTTTAGGTAAAAACGTTCATAAATGATTTTATTTTTATTTCGTAGGATAGAGGAGACTCTGAAATAAAAGAGAGAAGTACAAGCAGAGATCGAAAACAGAAAGAAGAATTGAAAGAAGACAGCAAGCCAAGAGAAAAGGACAAGGACAAGGGGAAGGCCAAGGAGAATGGCGGAAACAGACACAGAGAAGGGGAGAGAGAGAGACCCAAAGCCCGGGCCAGGCCAGACAGCGAGCGACAGAAAGACAGAGGCAACAGGGAGCGGGACAGAGACTCCGAGCGTGAGAAGGAGACAGACAGAAAGAGTGAGGGGGGAAGAGAGAAGGAGAGACTGAGAGACAGGGACCGAGAGCGCGACCGAGACAAAGGGAAGGACAGGGACAGACGGAGAGTGAAAAACGGGGAGCACTCCCGGGACCTGGACAGGGAGAAGAACAGAGAGCATGACAAACCCGAGAAAAAGGTAAAGTCTTCCTGAAAACCTCGCCTTTTGCTTAGCAAGAGTTTGTGGTGGCCTCAGACATGATTTTTATCTTTCTTACAGTGTGACTAGGAAACTGGTTTTCCTTTATGCCTATTTAAAATTACGACAATCTTGGATTCTCAGTAGAAACCCAAAGAGATACTTATTTCTTGTCAGTTGTGTTTTGGGTGTTTTTGGTTCATCCCTTAATAGAAGTTTATTGTTCAGCCAATCATTTATTAAGGCATTATTCAGTGAGTTTTTAACCATTTCCTACTTCATGTCTAGGGAGACGTCTGCTGGATTATAAGCTCCCTAAGAGCATAAGCCAGAGATTTCACTCATGTTCACTGTTGGATACCCAGTCTGGTAGAGCGTCTGACACAGCAGCTTTGCAGTAAATACCTGGTGGTGGAATGGATTGAGCATCCAGGCAAGGGGTGATGGGCTTTTCAGATCAGGAAACATTGGATGAAATCGATCAATTGATAGTGGTTTCTGAGGTCTCCCTTTATGGAATTTTGATCTGGGAGTGGTAGAAGATAATTTGAAGGGGGAAGTCAGGAAAATATTATTAAATGCTTGCTCTTTTTAGAGTTTAATGATTCCCCACCAGGCCTGTAGAGAAATCAACGTTTTTCAGAGTTTGAGCTGATTTGCCACGTTGCTCTTGTCCTTGTCTCGCAGGTGTTTTAAGATGTGTGGCTTCTCCCGTGCGTGTCGTTTGTGTCGTTTGTGTCACTCTCAGTATTGCTCTGAAGGCTTTGGAGCAGCCTCCACCTTAGCACTGCAAGCAGTGTTTATGTGCAGTCTGAGTTGTGCATGTGACGTCTTTAGGAGCATGGACATTGCTCAGTTATTAAAGATTAGGGCTGCTTTCAGGGGCTTTTAGGCATTAGCAGATAAGCACAATAAGACCGGAGTTTACTGTAATTCTTGTTTAATTAAATTTTCAGGTAAATTTAGGGTTTGCTAGAAAATCCTATTGGTTTCAAACTGTTTTCTAAATGTGTGAATTCCTTCTGGACCCACCATATGTGTTGGGGATGTTTTCCCAGACACCAATTCTTTGGGGAATGTAAAATTGTAAAGCATCCTGCGAAGATGTTGGAAATCATCTGGTCTCCAGCTGCTAGGAAGGAGGACACTGAGGTCGGGAAGGGATCAGATCTGCCCAGTTGATCTGGCCGGGCAGTGAGGGGCAGGGCCTGGGTTGGTGCCATGGCCTCTTCCTCGTGGGACAGCCATCTTGTCTTGTGGCACTGCGTCTCAGGGTGTGCCTGCCCAGGGGAGGGGGGTGGGTGCCACAGGACTGACCCTGAGGGGAATCCTGTAAACCAGGCTTTCCTGTGGGGGTCAGTACAACCCGTTTTGAGATCTGTGGGTCACAATGGGATAGGGGGTGCCTATCGGGCAAGATTGTGGTTTTGTTCGTAATTGAACGTAGTGTTCTACGGGGCATTTTGGAGTTTTACTATTTAAAATGTCACTCATTCCCCCTCCACTGCACATCCTGGAGTAATGTACTGTATGATATGTGTCATAACCTGGCTTTCCTTATGAGTCTTAGAAATTACAGAGACATTCCCCATCTTTTGCTCCTTTTTAGAGGTGTAAGAAAAAGTATTTTTCATGAACCTGATTTTTCTGAGGCACCGGTATATTCTGGTGTATTTTGCTGTGCATGAGGCAGCCTAGGAAGGGGCCAACCTTCCTCAGCTCTCAAGGCCTTCGGATTGGGGGTCCCCACGTTATGTTCCCTAAAACTGCTAATGAGATGACTGGCTTTTTAAGTAGAGAGAAACCATTCCAAAGAAATTCTTAGAGGCTCAGCCGGGCATGATGACTCACGCCTGTAATCCCAGCACTTTGGGAGGCCGAGGCGGGTGGATCACGAGGTCAATAGATCGAGACCTTCCTGGCAAACATGGTGATGAAATCCTGTCTCTACTAAAAAAAAAAAAAAATTACAAAAATTAGCTGGGTGTAGTGGTGTGCGCCTGTAGTCCCAGCTACTCAGGAGGCTGAGGCAGGAGAATTGTTTGAACTTAGGAGGCGGAGGTTGCAGTGAGCCGACATCACGCTACTGCACTCCAGCCTGGGTGACAGAGCGAGACTCTGTCTCAAACAACAACAACAACAAAAAGAAATTGTTAGAGGCTGATATTTGGGAACATATCAGAGCCAAGTGTAATGATGGTTTTGTTTAAAAGCGTCTGAGACCGTGGCGAAGTGATTTTTTCCTACACAAAGCTGGTGCTTACTTGGTTGCCGTGAGATTTGTGTGGATCTCACATGGTGGTTTTGTTTGCCAGGCTCTTCTGTGGACAATCTGGGGGCTTCATTGAGCCGCATGGGTCTGGGAGGCAGCTGCGTCCTTTCCTCTGGTAAAAAGCGCCAGGCAGGTGTGAGCTGCTGTGAGGCGCCTCCCAAGGAACCCCAGTTCCCAGGGACCTTAGTCACATCTATGCTGGGGAGGCAGGAGACTCAAGTTCTAACCCCGGTTCTGCCGCAGTCATTCTTTATCCTCTTCCCCATTTTATTTCTGTCTAGTTGAGAGGCTGACGAGATCCTAGGCTACCTCATGGGCTTTTGCAAAGAAGAAGTGAAATAGTAGATATGAAAACACTCGGAAAATTAAGAGTGCAGTGGAGAGGACAGGTGCTAGGTTAGACTGGCCACGTGGGGGTCCCAGGCCCCTCTCTTAACTGCCTCCTTTATGGGTAGCACGTGCGCAGTGCCCAACCTACAGTCATGGGTAATTACTGCTGATAAAATCTGATACCTTCATAATTAACTTATGAGGACATTGAATTGTTGAAATATTGAACAGGCTTTCTTTGCTTTTCAGTCTTCCTGGAGGAAAATCTCAATGAAGATAATGTGTTCTACTCCTTCTACTCCGAGATATGTCTTCTAGAGAAGTGATTTAAGGCGTGAGATGAGATGGTGTTTACGGTTTTCATGTAGTTTATGTTATGAGAGTGCTTTCCTCACTTACAGTCTGAAGCCTTTGCTTAAAAAGAATTGCCCCATTCTGTTAATGAAGTTAGCCTGTGATCAGCAGAGGCGGCTAGGAGCAGTTTCTCTGTGGGTGTCGGAGGTTTATATTGTTCATTCCCTCCCTAGCTTCCAGATCCCTAGGTTTCCCTGCAATATGTTTCCAGGAAATTCGGTGTGGCATAGGGATTCGTGTTCGTATAGCTTCCTGAGAGGCAGGAATATTTGAAGTCCTTGCCCACCTACTTTGCCCTTATGGGAAGAGATCTCCCTGCCATTGGCTTGGAAGACTCTTGGGGAATGCAGGCAGCAGTAACAATCGTGGCAATCAGAGGTGGATTGGCGATGTGGTGTTCTCGTGGGAAGAATGATTTCACTGTTGGTCAATGTTATAGAAAATATCTTGGCATATTTTTAGATATTACGGATTGGAATAATTCTAAAGTTTGAACTTTTTTTTTTTTTAATAGTCAGCAAGCTCAGGGGAGATGTCTAAAAAGTTGTCAGATGGAACTTTTAAAGACTCCAAGGCTGAAACAGAGGTAAACTTTAAAAAATAACTTTAAGAGATGTCAACTTGTAGCTGTGTTGAAACAGTAAATGCTGTGTGCTCCCCTGGTCCACTGAGGCATGGAAGGAGCACATGGTCATGGCCTATCTGTAATAGGTCCATTTTATTTCGTTGTAAAAGTAATGAGTTAAATGCTTTACCTCCTGGTAAAATAGATGGGGGTATGTATTCTCTGATTTTCTGTGGGGCACTCCTGGGTTTACTTATGCCTTTATATGACTAGTGTGATGTGTGGTGTAATAGGGTTGTCATTTTGGGGAGAAGGGGGAAGTGGCACTCAGGATGAGTCTGGAAGAGGCATAAGTCACCAGGCAGATGGGGCCAGTGGGAGAGACCCCTCCAGCCTCTGGTTGGCCTGTTCAGGACTCCATGATGCGTTTCCTGGGGCTCGCCACGGTCTCCACATGGGCCATCTTGTGGAGGTTACACTCATCCCAAGCAGCAGGGGCCACTGAGAGATTGAAGCCAACTTTTGTAGTCCAATTCACATTTCAGGAAGTATTCATGAGGCTGCAGGGGAGCTGGGTTAGGCATCGAGTAGAGGCTGGGGGGCTAGTGAGAGGAGAGAGGTGGTAAGACTGGAACTGTGCCAGTGGCGGGAGGAATAGGATGTGCTGTTTCCTTTGGTTAGTGTTCTGTTTAAATACGTATAAATTTTTACCTTCAGAGTTGCTTACAAGTGCATTTAAGTAATTAAGTATATAGCAACAGAAGTGGAGTCCTCATAAGCACAACTGATAAGACGGTGCTTCTCAAAGTGTGGTGAGCAGATTGTTGACCTTTTTAGGGCTGCACAAAATGATGGAATTCTAAATATAGTGTGAAAAGGCTTTTGGCCTACGTGTAATTCGCACTCTCAGGTCTTAAGTCCTTAGTGATACTGAGTTTTAAAGCATATGGGCACTATTGCTGGATTTCATACTTGTTCTTCCTCAAGCAGAGCTTGAAAAGTAAACCTGCTTATGATATTGCTGTGTAATGCATCAATTAATTTCTTTTCATTCTTTTTTCTTTAAGACTGAGATTTCCACTAGAGCATCCAAGTCATTGACAACAAAAACATCAAAACGGCGATCCAAAAATTCAGTGGAAGGTACTGCAAAACTTATATATGTAGCTGAAAATATGGATATTAGTTTTTTTTTTTTGTCTTAATCCCAGTGTCTAGTAGGAAAGAACTCCTGTGGCTGGAAAACAGACTTGCTGTATCTGGGAATGAATAGCGTGTGGAAATAATGAAGATTTGTGGTTGTTACATACACATGCCTGTGTGCACAAGTGTGTGAGCTGATGACATCAGGGCAGAGTAGCCCCTTTTTGCTGGAGATCTGTGTTGAAATGTAAAAGTTGTGATCAAATTTTCATTTTCCAGAAATACTTAGCCATCTTCATTTCAGTAGTTGTGTCCTTTGCGTTGGCAGCCTACATTTAATCCTCGTGCAGGTTGGACGTAGAGCATGTAGGCAGATAATGTTTATGTGTTTAAAAACCACAGAAATTATGATTGGAAGTCATGCTAAAAGTCGAACATGCAGGCCTGGCCTATGGTTTGCTGAAGGATAGTACCTCACAATCCTGTCTAACACAAGAGTGTCAGGCAAATGCAGGGAGGCCCTGTTGGAGGCCACTGGCGTTGGAGGCTTATTTTTCATTGAAGTATGAAGTTACTTTGAATGAGCAGTGCTTGTTTCTGAAAAATCATCCTTTTCCTAAATTGTATAAGTTAAAGAAGGGTGGCAAGATGTAGTAGTGGGAATTTTTCCCTTAGAAAGGAGGCTTAAATGGTAGGTTCCACTTGTGCACACTAATTAGTAATGCGTTTGTGACCAGCTTTGTGCTAGAAGCCTTTGTTGTCTTTTGGTTGAACGCTGTGGGGTGGGTCTCCAGAAGCGCAGTGGCTGGCACAAAGGGTATGGCATTATGGCTACTGCGCGCCCTTAATGGCCCTTCACCCCACACCTTCTCCAGTGTCGTAAAGGCATGCTGATTTTGATGAACGAAAAACAAAAAAGTTGATTATTAATGAAATGGTAATTGTTGTCGTGTGTGAATGTTTTGGGCTTCTCTGACCTGCCTGTTCTTTGGTTTCCCTGGGTTCTTCTTACTTCTGAAGTCTGCATTCTTACTGATTTGCATGCGCATACTGTATGTTAAGGACATCTGCCAGTTTGCCAATTTTTGCATAAGTGTTTCTTTTTCAGTTTGTTTCTACTAATTACATTTGGTTTGGTTTCTGATTTGCCTGGGTGTTGAATTGTTATGTGCTTGAGGCCTCTAATCTTTTTTTTTGGTAATCTGTCCAGAGATTTGAGAGGTGAAGATTTGTGTTTTATCATACTTGTTTTTACTTAATTTCTTATGTTCTGTCTTACTTTACTTCATGGTATAAGGTGAGGCTCTGAATCTATTTTGTCAGAATAATTCATCAGTAATTCCAGGATCACTTCTTAATTGAACGCTTCTCTCCTGCTCTGTGATGCCTTTTGTAGTCTGGGTTATGGGCTTTTTTGTGTGTGGTGTTTTTTACTTCCACTGTTTTGTTTTTACTATTAGTTTCCTATCACTGTTCTTTTCAGAAAAGTTTTAAGCCATCTTCTTTGCTTATTCTTCTGGATGAATTTTAAAAGCACTTCATGACTCAAGAATTCCACTCTTGCAAAATAAACAAACGTCTCAGAATTTAATTGGATTTGTGTTAAATATATGCGTTCATTAGTTTAGGAAGATTAGACACCTCTAACTTCAGCTTCATGAAGGTGTTCCCCTCTTCCGAGAACACGTTGCATGTGCTTGGATATGTCTGTTGGTCACAGTGGTTGCTCACTGGTTTATTATATTTTATTTATTTTATTTTATTTATTTATTTTGAGACGGAGTCTCACTCTGTCACCAGGCTGGAGTGCAATGGCACAATCTTGGCTCACTGCAGCCTCTGCCTCCCGGGTTCAATCGATTCTCCTGCCTCAGCCTCCCGAGTAGCTGGGATTACAGGTGTATGCCACCACGCCCAGCTAATTTTTTGTATTTTTCATAGAGACAGGGTTTCACCATGTCAGCCAGGCTGGTCTTGAACTCCTGACCTGAAGTGATCCGCCCACCTCAGCCTCCCAAAGTGCTGGGATTACAGCCCTAAGCCACTCCGTGCTTGGCCTGTTGTTGCCTCTTAATCCAGTAGTTCTTTTGTTGATTTTTTTGGCCTTCCTAAGCAGACAGTTGTATCATCTGCCCTTCTTTTCTAATCGCTTGCGATATGTGCATCTGTGTTTACAGGTGAGCTTGTGCTCTAGGGGTCTTTTGTATGATCTTAAGAGATTTTATTACCAGACATTTATGGGCTTTTTGACACTGAGATTCCCTGAGCTGTCAACAGCTCAGTGGACTCTTGTCTTCCTCTCCTGCTAGCTGGGGACTGACTTCCCTGTGGGTCCCCCAGCAAAGCTGGCACTCTGCCTGAACATTCTGCCTTGCTTAAGTAGGTTCACGTTTGGGCAAACGCCCAGTACCCAGAGGTTTGTGAGACACTGGAGTACCCAGAGGTGTGTGAGACACTGGAGCCCTGTGTTCTGCTCAAGGGGATGAATGAGCCTTTACTCCAGGGTGTGAGGGTATCACATTGGTAAACATACTTAGACTCTTTTTTTTTTTTTTTTTTGAGACGGAGTCTCGCTCTGTCGCCGGGGCTGGAGCGCAGTGGCCGGATCTCAGCTCACTGCAAGCTCCGCCTCCCGGGTTTACGCCATTCTCCTGCCTCAGCCTCCTGTGTAGCTGGGACTACAGGCGCCCGCCACCTCGCCCGGCTAGTTTTTTGTATTTTTTTAGTAGAGACGGGGTTTCACCGTGTTCGCCAGGATGGTCTCGATCTCCTGACCTCGTGATCCGCCCGACTCGGCCTCCCAAAGTGCTGGGATTACAGGCTTGAGCCACCGTGCCCGGCCGACTCTTTTTTTTTTGAGACGGAGTCTCGCTGTGTCTCCCAGGCTGGAGTGCAGTGGCGTGATCTCAGCTCACTGCAAGCTCCGCCTCCCGGGTTCATGCCATTCTCCCGCCTCAGCCTCCCGAGTAGCTGAGACTACAGGCGGCCGCCACCACGCCCGGCTAGTTTTTTGTATTTTTAGTAGAGACGGGGTTTCACCGTGTTAGCCAGGATAGTCTCGATCTCCCGACCTCGTGATCCACCCGCCTCGGCCTCCCAAAGTGCTGGGATTACAGGCTTGAGCCACCGCGCCCGGCCATACTTAGACTCTTAAAGTCATTCTGGAATCCCTGCAGAATCCAGAAAGCATTCTGCCCAAGAATATTATAATTTTTGCTTATTTCTAAGTAGTGCATACAGAGCTGATCACTTTGCCTTAATGAGTACATTTTAATTTCATTTGTTTGTGAACTGTTTTACATTACATTACAGATTAAGTTTAATATATATTTTCATTGTGCTATTTTATGTCAGGAAGAAGGGACCCTAAAACGAGTGAAAATAGTCTTTCCCCTGAAAAAGAACATAACTCTTCCTACTGTAAAGCTAAGAAGGAACATAGCATGAAACAGCTCGGTAAGCTCAGTGAACCACAGTGGAGGCTGTGAGTGAATGATGACAGTTGAAACCTTTACTGCCTGGTCCTTTGCTTCTACTTGGTCATTGAACATGTGGAAGTCTGCGGGGGTGGTTGGCATAGGTGTGGCCCTCCTTGACCTGGGGCCTGAGCTCTAGAACACTGCCTTCTGGCCGGAGTGGAGAGGGGGCAGAGGGACATGTTGGCCCCATGCAGCGCTGCCCCTGGCCAGGTGAGGATTTCCTACCCTGAGTCAATCACAGGCTTCAATTGTCCATTTGAGTTTTCTTTCAATGATTCTGCAGACATTTATGATAATAAAGAGAACACAGGGGTACATATGTGCATGTTAGTTTGTGATGAATCTTCAAGGAAAATGAAGCCAAGAGGAGCAGGGATGAGGGGCGGGAGCAGGGAAGGCCTCTCCGAGGGAGGACATCTGGACAGAGAGCTGACTTGGGTGAAGGAGGACATGCAGGTGTGTGAGTGGTGAGGCGGGTGGAGAGAGGAACAGCGATAGGGTAAAGGACTGGGCCAGGAAGCAGGGCCCGGAGCTGCCGGTCCCAGAGCTGCTGGTCCCGGTCCATAGCAGTTGTGTGGTTTACAGTGAGTGCACACAGAAGTTCTTGAAGAGTTTTAAGCAGCACAGAGGCAAGATTTGACTTAGGTTTTAGAACTCCTTCTTTTAAAACTGTGGCATGGCAGGAGTAAAGGCTGCAGAGCAGTGAGGAGGGGCCGTGGCATCTGGATGAGAGGAGGTGAGGGTTGGGACCAGAGTGCCAGCGCTGAGAGCGGGTTGGGTTTACTGTGCTGATGGGTGGGGCGCCACTTGTTTCAATGGAAAGGAATCAAAGATGAGATTCATTCTGGGGGGGTCTGGGCTCCTAGGGGGTGGCCTGGCCTTTATTGACATGGAAGGTTCTGGGAGACGCTGGTTGGTGGAATGGGTGGCAGTGTTAGGAATTCTGTGTTGGACAACAAATTTGAGATGGCTGTGGACCAACCAAGTAGAAACATCTAGTAGACAGCTGGATGTATTGACTTGGAGATCAGGAGAGAGCTGGAGAAACCGAAGGGAAAAACAAAAAATGGAGAGTTCTAGCATACAAGTGGTGTTTACAGACATGGACCTTTGTGCAGTAATGGGTCCAGGGGCGTGTGTAGGTAGGAAAGGGCGTGGTGAGCTCTGGAGCCTGCTGTGGTCCCCCAGGTCAGAAGAGGAGGAGGAGGAGGAGGACGAGGAGCAGGAAGAGGAGGAGGAGGAGGAAGGGGAGGAGGAGGAGGGAGGATCATCCTTGCAAAGGAAACAGAAGGCCAACAAGTTGGAGGAAAACTTGGAGAGGAAGAAAGTGTTAGGGAAGGAGAAGGGGTTTCTTGTCAAGCTCTAATGAGGGGAGTCATGTGGAGGCTGAGAATTGACCATTTAGTTGACAAGACAGTTTGCTGGTGACCTTGGTGTAACCCTTATAAATCCCAACTAAAACAATCAAACACAAAATCTTTTATAATATTTTAATCTGTTGCTAACTATTTTATGTCAGGAAGGAAGGAGGATAATATTTCAGCTAAAATTTTAGACTCCGTAGTGTCTGGAATAAATAATGAGCCAAATCAGGAAACGACAACTTCAGAAATAGGTAAGAAAAATATATTCTTTAGTTTAAATTCCTCATCACTTTATTGTGAATGGTTTTATCTCAATGTAGTTATACATTGTTAAAAAATTATTCTAACTACTTTCATGTTCATGAGACTTTTTCTGATATACTGAAGATTGGACATAACTTGAGGTTTTATTTGCTTTAATATGCTAAGTTATATGATAACTTTATTAACTCAGCTTTAAGTTAATTATATGGCTTTCTATACATAGATTATTTTTACACTTCAGTCAAAATGCTTTCTTAATCTTGCTGTTGGGATCTCACAGTGGTGTGGGTGATGACACAGAGAAACGGTTTTTATTTCTTCATGCTGCTCTGCTTTATTCTACTCAGAAAATGCTGGTAGTAGAGGTGTTTAAAGTGCTTGTTAGGCACATTGGGAAGCTGGCCTGTCACAGCCAATCACATTCAGGCCAGCGTGTGGTGGGCGTGCCCAGCCCTCACCCTGCTGCCTCAGAGGGGATGGTCCTTGGTTCAGTGTCAGTAATTACCGTCATCTGTGACTTCAGACGGAATTCTTCAGAAATATTAGAATTCTCCAGTGGCACTTTAGGAAAAAATAGTGGGAAGACTTTAGGGGAAGAGGAAATTTTTGCTGGCCGAACTTGCCTTATATCTGTCTGACTTTTACAAATTCTGAAGTGTAGCTGGAATACCGATGAGCACATCCTTCTTTCTCCGTGTGCGTTCCCCTCCGAGCTAGCGTTTCCAGGAGTGGGCGTGCTTGGTACAGCTGCAGTGTGAAAGATGACCTGTGGTTATTTTATTCCAAGTGGGGTGACTATATGGGAGTTGCCTGGGTCTTCAGTAGCATGGGATGGTGGAGTAAACGGTGACTGAGCTGGAGCAGGGTTTTTCCACTGAAGAGAGCCCCTGCCACGCGGGCATGCGTGTTACCGTTCAGCCACATCTTTGTGATGTATGTTTCCTTTTTGTGGCAGCTTTCCTTATCCCTGGGAGTCTGTGGGGAAACACCCAGGCACACTGCAATCCTGCACTGCAGGAGAGGGCAGCAGGCAGTGGCAAAAGGCTGAGGGGTGGACTCCTGGTAGCCCCCACTTGGCTAGCTAGGACCCCATCTCTGAGGCCACAGGGGCGACTCCCCACCTCCTGCTTACCCACCTCATGGCCTTGAGCCAGCCACATGAGTGGGTTCTCTGAGCCACAGTTTCCTCTTCATAAATGGGCATAAAGATACCTGCCTTGAAGGTGAATGAGGTGTGCATAAAGTGGTGGCTCGTCCCAGGCATGCCATGGTCTAACCCGCTTTATCACGGATCACCTCAGCTGAACTGCCAGCCCCAAATCAGGGCGAGACAGCGCTCATCCTGAGACGGGCAATGAATTTAGAACAAATTGAAAGCATTCTCCAGACAGGTAGTGACGACTTTATAGGTAATATCGACAAGTGTGAAGATAACACAAGCCTAGGCAGTAAGAAGCACAAACTGCAAACGTGATTTCTGGGTTGAGCTTTTTGCAGAGATTGGGATGGAACCTGATGCCACCTGCCGGGGAGCAGAGTCTCCCGCTGTCCTGGGGTGGTGGTGTGGGGGTGGGTGGTGGTGCAGGGGATTGGGAACAGCGGCCAGGAGCAGAGCCTGGGCTCTGGAGAGACTCCCGCTCCCTCCTCTTTCTCCTCCCCCGACCCTTGCCCTGCTCCCCTGGGGTCCTGCCACAACAGGGGCCTGGGGGTCTCTGTCCTCACAGTTGCAGGTGTTATCTTGCACTGGCCATGATTTAACATTTGGAATTCAGAGTTTGTTGGCAGTTGTTACAGTTCCTTAATTTCTTCATTGGAGGTGAACCGTGGTGCACTGCCATTGGGTCTGATTAACAAGCCGGTCCTCACACTACCTTTCCTTCTTAGTGTTTCAAGGAAAAGTTCATGTTGTCAAAGTCAGCTGCACTGACTGACCCGGCCCTTGTGAGCCCTGTGCCCGTAGCCTGGGTCATCATCAGAGAATTTGTGTGTTTTATTGTTATTTTGGTTTTTTGGGTGGATTAAAGAGTTCAACAAGGAATTTATCCATTTCTTTTTCAAAACATGAACAAATTTCTTCCTGTACTCCAGTCGTTAGGCAAGCTGTAAGGCATGCTTTGTTCACTTTACAATTGTGTGACGGTTCCAAGTTTTTCTGGAACATTAAGCCATGTCTTTATTTTGCTTAGTTTCCCTCATTTCATTTTTGCTTACTTGTCTGTTTTTATTGTGAAAAATATGGAAAAGTAGAAAGAATAGTACAACTAATGCCCATATACCTTTCACCCAGATTCACTAGTTCTAACATTTTTGCCATTTTGCTTAGTGTACAGTTATGCATGTGTGTGTATATATATATATTTTTTTGGGACAGAGTCTCACTCTGTTGCCCAGGCTGGGGTACAGTGGCGTGATCTCAGCTCACTGCAAGCTCCATTTCCCAAGTTCAAGTGATTCTTCTGCTTCAGCCTCCTGAGTAGCTGGGACTACAGGTGTGTGCCACCATACCTGGCTTCTTATGTGTATTTTTGAGACAGGGCTTTGCTCTGTCACTCAGCCTGGAGTGCAGTGGTATGATTATAGCTCACTGCAGTCTTGAACTCCTGGGCTCAAGTGATCCTCCCGTCTCAGCCTCTTGACTGGCTGGGACTACAGGCATGTGTGACCATGCCAAGCTAATTTTTTTTTTTTTTTTGTAGAGAGGGCATCTCACTTTGTTGCCTAGGCTGGTTTGAACTCCTGGGCTCAAGTGATCCTCAAAGGATCACTTTCACCTCAAACTCCCAAAGTGCTGGGATTATAGGCATAAGCCACCATACCCAGCATCTAGTTACATATTTTAATGAACTGTTTCAAAGTATGTTAAAAAACATCCTAGCACTTTATCGCTACATACTTCGACATGCAGCTTTATAAAAAGTACATTTTCCTATATAGCCAGAAAAGTATTGTCTAACTGAACTCAGTTATTGCTTACTAATAGCACCTAAAACCCAAGCCATATTCTGATTGTCCCAGAACTGTTTTTCTATTCTTTTTCTTTTTTTTTTTTTTAAACACTGACCATTTGATCACATTTAACTTAGTGTAGCTAAATTTTGCACAGAACACTGGCAGAATGATGGACCTCCTTCAGTTGTATTTGTGGGCCATATATCTGCTTAGTTTCAGTTAATAGTGACTGATAGGGACCGGCCCCTCCCAGCCGGGCACAGTGCTCCTGGCTTTATGCACAAGATCTCATTTGACTCAGGATGGCTGCGTGAGGTGGGGCAAACTGTGACTCAGGAAGGCTGAGGGACCTGACCAAAGCATAGCCCGTGGAGAGAGGAAGTGCCGGTGTTCCACCCTAGGGCATCTTGAGCCAGGGCTTACATTCTCACCTACAAGATTCATTGGTTACCAGGTAGCTCCAGACAACAGATTGTGTTTATGTGGTGACTCTTTTTAAAATTTTTATTTTGCCAATTCATAGTCATTTTTATTTTATTTCTTTTTTGAGATGGAGGCTCACTCTGTTGCAAGGTTGAAATGCAGTGGCGCAATCTTGGCTCACTGCAACCTCCGCCTCCCGGGTTCAAGGGATTCTCATGTCTCAGTCTCCTGAGTAGCTGGGATTGCAGGTGTGTGCCACTAGGTCCAGCTAATTTTTGTGTTTTCAGTAGAGATGGGATTTCACCATGTTGGCCAGGCTGGTCTCGAACTCCTGACCTCAGGTGATCCACCTGTCTGGGCCTCCCAAAGTGCTGGGATTACAGGTGTGAGCCACCGCTCCTGGCCATCATTTTCATTTTATAAGTGCATTATTTATTTGTTTAAAACTATTATTTGACAAATTGGCTAGTCTCTTCTCCGTGATTAAGAATTGATTCTAGGCCGGGCGCGGTGGCTCAAGCCTGTAATCCCAGCACTTTGGGAGGCCGAGATGGGCGGATCGCGAGGTCAGGAGATCGAGACCATCCTGGCTAACACCGTGAAACCCCGTCTCTACTAAAAAATACAAAAAACTAGCCGGGCGAGGTGGCGGGCGCCTGTAGTCCCATCTGCTAGGGAGGCTGAGGCAGGAGAATGGCGTGAACCCGGGAGGCGGAGCTTGCAGTGAGCTGAGATCCGGCCACTGCACTCCAGCCCGGGTGACAGAGCGAGACTCCGTCTCAAAAAAAAAAAAAAAATTGATTCTACAGTGTGGTATCATTAGTGAGCGTATAGTCTGTTTTCATGTTCTTTCTCTCGGTGTGAACTTGGGGTTTAGTAAAGCTTACATAAGAATACCACTAGAACTTTGAAAAGGTAAAATTGTGAAAGTGTCATTGGTCTCTGAATTACAGAATGAAGATAATGCATTTATAATTTGCTTATTGTGATGGTGGGTATGGTAGAATATGGAAAATATTTGACACTTTGAAATCAAGTACACAACTTAAAATTATTAGAGTGTTTTCTTCTGAAGTTGATCATCTACAACTGCCAAGCTTATGTTTATTTTTAGATTTTTTTTTTGTTAAGAACTTAATATTTCATGTTTATTCTCTGGTTAGCCTGTATAAAATATAAATAACTATTTGAACCGGACTAAGTCAGCATCATTTTCACAGATTAATAAAAATGTCTTTGCAAAATTATATGTCATCTATTTTATGTAGTTGTATTACATTATAAATAAAACAGTTATATGGTAGTTAATGTCAGGTTGATTCTGATGTAAGCTGTTTTGAATAGTTTTAAGAATTATTAGATTGGGTTTCAGGAAAGGGAACATTTTTCCAATTTAATTTTTGTCTCCCAGTTTCTTTTTGGAGTGGTAGGTCCTTTGACTGTGGGCTAGTTTTCCAGCTCTGGGTCCTGCTGTAATGTAGAACCTATTCTTCTGGCCCCTCATCTGGGCCGCCTATCTTTTTTTTTTTTTTTGAGACAGAGTCCGGCTCTGTCATCGGGCTGGAGTGCAGTGGTGCCATCTCGGCTCACTGCAACCCCTGCTTCCCGGGTCCAAGAGATTCTCCTGCCTCAGCCTCCCAAGTAGCTGGAACTACAGGGGCATGCCACCACACCCGGCTAATTTTTGTATTTTTAGTAGAGATGGGGTTTCACCATGTTGGCCAGGATGGTTTCGCTCTCTTGACCTCGTGATCCGCCCGCCTCAGCCTCCCAAAGTGCTGGGATTACAGGTGTGAGCTACCATACCGGCCTCCTACCCTTTTTCTTTTTCTTTTTTTTTTTTTTTCCCAGATGGGATCTCACTCTTAAACACAGGCTGGAGAGCAGTGGCACAATCATGGCTCACTGCAGCCTCGACCTCCTGGGCTCACACGATTCTCCTGCCTCAGTCTCCTGGGTAGCTGGGACTATAGGCACCTGCCACCACGCCTAGCTAATTTTTGTAGAGATGAGGTTTCGTCAGGTTGCCCAGGCTCGTGCCTGCCTTGGCCTCCCAAAGTGTTGGGACTACAGGCATGAGCCACTGCACTTGGCCTCTTTTTTTTTTTTTTTCAAGATAGGGTCTTACTGTTTTCCCTGGACTGGAGTACAGTGGTGTGATCATAGCTTACTGCAGCCTCGAATTCCTGGACTCAAGTGATCCTCCCATCTCAGCCTCCTGCGTAGCTAACTACAGGTGTGTGTAACCATGCCTGGGTAGTTTTTTAAATTTTATATTTTTTGTGGAGACGAGGTCTCCCTATGTTACCTAGGTTGTCTTTACTCCTGGGCTCAAGTGATCCTCCCACCTAGGCCTCCCAGATTGCGGGGATTATAGGTGTAAGCCACTGTGCCCAGCCTGTTTTTGTTTTTCACAGCAAAAATATTTTCTCAGGTATTTGGTATTTTTCTATCTTCATAAACTTTGGAACATCAGTCAGTAATTAGTCGACAAGTATGTGAAAGTTTTCAGTATGGCCAGGACTGTGCACTGTGTCCAAAATATTTTTCTTTTCTTCCTGTGTTTCTGAAACAGCCGCCTACTTGCAGCCTCTCACCTACTGGGTCTGGCTGTAGTGGGGAGGTGAGTGGAAACTGGCAGTGTCAGGTAGTTCCAGAAATGGGGGGCGAGGGCAGTCTGCTCCTCCTGGCCTGAATAGACCCAGGATCCACTCACAGTCTGGGGTGGCCTTTCCCTTTCACCCCAGAGCCGCCCATGGGGGAGGAACATTCTGGATGCATGTTTTCTAAAAGCTGCCTTTAGTCAGTCCTTTGTAAACTTGCAGTGTGGGAAAACATAGATAAGTGAGTGTGCTCTATGTTAACGAAGCTGCTGATCACCGGCCCTTTGGTGTACAGTCTTAATGACTAATTTTAAACTGTTTTATGTCAGGAACAAAAGAAGCTAATATTAAGTCAACTAGTATTTCAGATGGTAATTCAGCTTGTCTGCGGTGTGAGAATACTGAGCCCGACCCCGCAGAGAAGCAGAAAGGTAAGAACGGTTCCGTTTCGCCCTTTCCTGGCGAGAGCAGAGTGAGCCCTCCAGAACCTTCTTCCCAAAGGGCCGCAGCCCAGAGCCCAAGGTTTTCCCCTTGGGTCTGAACGTGGCAAGTGATTCACTTCTGCCTTTTTGCATAAACTAGAATCGAACATGGTGGTTTCTCGATAGCATTGGACCCACTTGTGTGCTCCCCCAATATTAGTGAGAGGAGGTGGCATGGTTCATCACTTGGGGGGTGTCACGAGTGGTCCCTGGAAAGTTTCGGGGTCACTACTTGGAGAGCCCCACCAGCCAAGAGGTATACCCCCCCAGACTTCATGGTCACAGTGCTGTGGCCACCGTGATTTTTCCATCACTTTCTTTGAGTGTTGAATTATACCTCAGTGAGACTTTACTTTCACCATAAATTTTCTCAGCCTTAAAAAAAACTTTGGTAAACTAGCCATTCAATGTTTGTGTGTTGAGGCCTTGGAGTTCCTAACAGGCCTGCAAGAGTGTCAGTGCCCAGGTAACCAAGGCTTGTGCAGGTGGCAGCAGCAGGGTGGGATGTGGCCAGACGAGGGCTGATATTTGTTGATCCGTCAAACAGAAAATTATCTGTTGAAGGCCTACTACATGTCAGCCCTGAGCCTGGGAGTGCATGAGCCAGTGGCGTCGGGCTGGCCTTCTGCCTTCCTGGTGCAGATGAGGCTCGAAGATCCACCAAAACCATTGGATGAAGTAGCATTCTGGGACGGGGGGCCTTGGTTCGTGAGGGTGGCCCAGAGAGCCTGCAGGGCAGAAGGGACTGCATAAACCAAGATCCCAGCTGGGATGCGACTGCAGCAGGGCTGGCTCAGCCCAGAGGAAGTGCCAGAGCCACGTCCCTGTGCCAGCTTATGGAGTTTAACCTTTATTGGAAGAGCAGCGGGAGGCTAATTATATCTTTAGGAGGAACAGTATAATGATATTTAGATTTTGAAGACTGGCCATGTTAATTAGGGAGGGTTAAAGATTGTCCAGAGAAGAGAGAGAGACCTGGACTGTGGAGGAGCCCTGGGAAGGGAGAAGTGGTGGGATTCCAGGGCTGCTGGCATGTGATGGGGGAGCCGGCCTGGAGTGTAGGGGGAGGGCCCAGGTTAGAGAGGAGCTGTGAGAGTTGCTGATGCCGGGTGATGGCGGGAGCCTGGGTGGGGACTAGGTCACCTGGGATGAGATTGTGAGGGCAGGAGCTGGCAGAGTGCTGGCGCTGTAGAAGCACAGGCCTCGGGGAGGATGGTGTGGGCCATGTGGCAGGTGCCTTGGGTTCTGGGTGATGGGGACTGGAAGTATCCATTGAAAGGTAGAGAGCTGACTGTGCTGACTTTCCTTTGGGGTATCGGCCTTGTGGCTGAATAACCACACCTCTCAGGAACCTGTCTGAGTGCTGTGTGAACCCAGGGCCTGTCCTGAATACCCTGGTGTTTTGAAGAAAGAGCCGGGGGTTTGAAACTGTGTCTGCTGCCTGCCCCCAAGTTGTACGAGGACTCTCAGTGCTGGTTTCTGCTAAGCACACGCTCCAGGCCGCAGAGCCATGAGGAGAAGATCTTCTGTCACCTGCTCTTGGTCCCCAGCAGTCCCATCCCAGGGTTGAGCTGAGTCCTCCACCCGCATTGGGTGCAGCACCCAAAGTGCTGGGGTCTCTGAAACTGCTTCTAGTGGCACTATCTGAACCACATTCTCCAGGACCCTGCTAACCACTGTGCCCTGCAGTCCCCTAGGCCCTGGCGGGTGCCAGGCTGCCCCCTGTGCTGTGGCACTTTGTGGGGTGTGACCTCTGGAGGCTCCCAGGCCCATATTAATAAGGTCCTCTAGTGCCTCCTGGTTCCCCTTGATCCACAAGCTCGGCCCCCTCTCTCCCTGCCCGAGCCACCCTCTTAGGGCAGCATTTATGAGCTCGTGACTGTTATGCTCACAGAAAGTCCTCCTGTGAATAAACGAGCTGGAGGTGTCTGTGCAGCGCTCCTCACTCTGCGCCGTGTGGACCCTCAGAATAACCCAGGCTGATGTCTCGAGGCTGCATGAACTGTTCCTGTCTGGGGTGGGGCCGTGCTAAACAAGTGGCTGCATCAGGCCCTGCTGCCTCCCTTCTGCCCGTAGAGTGTCCCGAGTTGTCATGTGAAGCCATGCGCTTTCCGCTCCTCTGCAAATGCGTTTGTGCATCTTAAGAGTGTGAAACAGAGATTTCCCACCTGTGGTTTTGAATGCACCCCACCCCTGTGGTGCCACTGCTCATTTACTTTGACTGTTTAGGTCACATTTGTCCCCAAGACACAGCACTTGAAGAAAAAGGATCCTGGGTGAAGGTGCAGAGGTGGCCCTGTGTTGAGCTGGAAGAGTTTCTTCTGCTTTCAGGAGCTGATGGAAAAATACTTTCCAATCATGTCTATAAGATGGGCTGTTGTTGGCTGTCTCCCAGTCTGTGGAACGGCCTGGGATTTGGTTGGCCAGGTTCAGGCTGTTGCGTGGTTCCCTCACATTTGGATGTGCTTTTTCTGTGGCTCTGGCTTTGTTGATTCTTGTCTCATGAACTTGTTTACTTCCTCTCTCCGGTGTGCTCTCTCCACATCCCTGTGGCCTGTTTCTATATAGTACCATTTTATGATGCACAGTTTGTTTGCTCTTTGTTTTTCTATTTTTGAAAATAAAACAAAATGGCAATAGGGACATTAGAAAAGCGGCTATGAGGAAATGATCTTTTTTTCTTAACAGACATCCAAAATTATGTACAATGTGTTTTTTCTCTAATTCTGTTCTCATCATTTACTATATTGAGGTTGACTTACACAAAAACTAATTTTCTGATGTGCTTTTTTTTTAGGTGACTCCGCCAGTGATGCAGGTGAGGAATGGCCTTAGATACCTATGTGTCATATCAATTGTATGCATGTGTGTGAATGTAAATGTGGACTCTCAGATTCGTGCTTTATAAAGTGCATTAGTGTAAGTAACTTATTTTATGGAAAAAGATCTTAACTACCCTTATTTATTTATTTATTTATTTATTGAGATGGAGTTTCACTCTTGTTGCTCAGGCTGGGGTGCAATGGTGCAATCTTGGCTCACTGCAACCTCCACCTCCCGAGTTCAAGCGATTCTCCTGCCTCAGCCTCCCAAGTAGCTGGGATTACAGGCATGCACCACCATGCCTGGCTAATTGTGTATTTTTAGTAGAGATGGGGTTTCTCCATCTTGGTCAGATTGGTCTGGAACTCCCGACCTCAGGTGATCCGCCCACCTTGGCCTCCCAAAGTGCTGGGATTATAGGCGTGAGCCACCATGCCCGGCGAACTACCCTAATTTAATTTGAGATTTAATTTATATCTTTTAAATTTGAAAAGAATACATTTCAGATTTTTTTCCCCAGAATATAAAGTATATTTCTAATATTCAAATTCTGACTATTTTCTGAAGTGTTAATTCCTTTTACTTTAAATAGTGGAGTAAACTTGTCTTAATAGTTTGGGCCTTGTTATTTACTGATTAATTCTTTTCATCAAAATGAAGAAAACTTTGTTTAGATTATAAACATAATATGGTACATACCAATGTAGAAAAATTTAAAAATGCCAAAAAAAGAACAAAAATTAAAAGCACTGGTAATTCTACTGCTTATAACATAAACGAATATTATTCTAGAACCCTGTATATATATGCATATGCATATAATTGTTAGATATATTACTGTCCTGGATTGTTACACAAAAGGGGGCTAGCATGTGACTGTACCATAATTTACTTTGTGACTGACTGTCAGTATCATCAGTGGTGATGGGTGAGCATCTTGACATGTGTCCATTTCTCCTCTTGGGCTGTATTTCCTGTAAGCTGAGTTGATCGGCCTGCCTTTTGAATTTTATTTCTGAAGTAGTTGAACCAGTTTGTATTCCCTGGGTTGGAGTGTGCCCGTTTTCCCAAATCTTCACCAAGTTTAGGTATCAGACATTGGTTTTCTCTTCATCAACATGATTGATGGAAAAATTGCTCATTTGTATTTGCAATTACAAATGTATTTGATTGCAAATAACTGCAAATACAAATGCAAATAGTATTTTCAAATAGTTATTGGTGTGTTTTTTCCTTTGTGAATTGCTAATTGATTGTCATTTGTTTAGAAGGAGACGTTGGACCTGCTGGCCAAGATAAGTCTGACGTGCCAGAGACTCCAGAAATTCCTAATGAGCTTTCATCCCACATCAGGTCTGTGTGCTTTGAATCCCTTTCCCTCAGCAGAGTGATCACACCTAGGACACTGCTGTGCTTCTCTTTCTGCCTGTTGCTGTTCATTTAGTGCTTGAGCTAACTTATGAGGAATTACTTGTACAAAAGATACAAGAATATCAGTTTTCTGTACCGGAGTCATATCACTATATGCAGAATATTTTGGAGATTTAGGGGAATTCAAAATTATAGCTGAATTATGTGATGTTTTGATTAATGATAGTTCTTGATATTTTGAAATTACTGAAAATACAAGTTGAAAGACGGACACTTTCTGGTTGGTTGGGTTCCCGGGACGTTCCTGCTCTTCTGCAGAGTAGTGCGTCCTAACTAGCACATTGATTATGGCCTGGAGATGAGTGTTAACATTCACCTGGGCTTTCTTTTTCCACTTGGAAATGTATAAGCCTTTCATACTCCTTTTTTGGTTTTCCAATATTTGGGTTTAGAAGAATTCCTCGGCCTGGGAGTGCAAGACCAGCCCCTCCCCGGGTCAAACGGCAAGACAGTGCAGAGGCGTTACCAACAGACAGGTAAGACTGGCTCAGCAGGGCGGTTCTCCAGTGGGCACGGTGCCTCCGATGAGAGATAGGGGAGGGATGCAGCACATGGTGCTGGAAACATGCTATTGAGGAACAAAAAATGAGGGTAGGCCCTCGCCTCACACCATAGGCCAACAGACATGTCAGATGGATGAAAGAGAAAAACCATGCATACATGTACAATTAAATCTTCACATCTATGGGAAAATGTTGGACTGCATTTCTCTGACCCCTAGATTGAAGATTTTCTAAGCATGAAAACAGTAGAGGAATTAGGAAAAAATAGGGGAAAAATTAGGGGCTTAATTGCACAAAAATTAAAAATAGAAGGTGATCAAAATGTTATAAGCAGGCTGGGCCTGGTGACTCACACCTATAATCCCAACATTTTGGGAATCCAAGGCAGGCAGATCGCTTGAGGTCAGGAGTTTGAGACCAGCCTGGCCAATGTGGTGAAACCCCTGTCTCTACTAAAAATACAAAAGTTAGCCGGGCGTTGTGGGGTGTGCCTGTAGTCCTAGCTACTCAGGAGGCTGAGGCAGGAGAATCGCTTGAACCCGGGAGGTGGAGGTTACAATGAGCTGAGATTGCACTGCTGTACTCCAACCTGGGCGACAGAGTGAGACTATCTCAAAAAAAGAAGTCATAAGCAATATAAAGACAAAGAACAGACGGGATGGACCAGAGTGGGTTTCAGATCAAATAAGAGGCAGGAATTGGAGGCAGGAGGAGTAGATGTGTTTTTCTAGGAGTTTTGCCACAAAGAGAAGTGAAGGAATAAGACTAGAAAGTGGGAAAGGTGGTGTCAAGGGGAGTTACGATTTTTCTGATGATGGGAATGATCCAGTGGAGAGGGGAAATTGATGACGTAGGCGACGTGAGACAGGGATTTGGTGGAGCCGAGTCCCGGCGTGGGTGTAGGAACTGGTGTGGAGGTGGAGTCGGCACATGGTGTGGTGCAGATTCTTAAGGTGATTTTCTGGTACTTATTTTTCTCATGAGCCGTAAGAGGGTCTGGGGGAAGAAGAATGTCAGAGGAAAGAGGGGCTGGGTGAAGTCGCTGTGCACGAGAGTGGGCTAGTGAAGAGACTAGAGCAGAGGTTTTCCTCTGGGTTGTCCCCTTTGGGGACATTGGGCCATGATTTGGAGACATTTTCTGGTGTTCTGACGAGGGGGAGGGGTTAGGGCAGGGCTGTTGCTGAATCTCCTGCAATGCACAGGACGGTCTCCACCACAAAGGAGGATGGGCTGCCTGTCCATGGTGCCTGGGCAGAGGCCGTGGCTGACAACTGACTTCAGGGCAGCATCTGGCAGACTTGGACATAAAGAGACAGGAGATGGTGTGGTGGAGCCTGTTCTGCAGCCGCAGTTGGCTACACCTGCAGGCATGGGTGCACAGGCTGGATTAAACAGGGCTCAGCTGTGCCAAGCAAGTGCACCAGAGAGAGGAGGGAAGGAGTTGGAGTATGTGGAAGCGCCATGGTCATGACCAATGTGGGATTTATGCCAGTGAATGAGGGAAGAGCCCTCGGGGTGAAGGTCAGGAGGAGGCAGTAGGATTGAGAGGCTGAAGGTGCTGGACAGGTGGAAGGATTGTTGGAGTCAGGTCCTAGGGCCATGAGCTAGGAAGATGGGTGGTGGTAAAGGCGTGGGGCACTGGATTGGAGATTGGGGCTTGCTGTTAGTGGTTGTGACAGGGTGACCTTGGGAGTGGGTGTCGAGTGTGGGAGGTGGGATCATCCCAGGAGGGTTCAGGGACCCAAGGCCAGGATCTGGGAAGGATCATTTCTCAGTACTTGAAATCACAAGTTAAGACAGGAGCAGCGTTGGCGAGAGTGGCAGGTCCAGGAGGACCGGGTGGGACCAGGGGTTGGCAGCTGATGGCAGCAATGATGGGGTCGAGGGCGACAGGATTTAAAGTTGGCAGTTTCTAGGGAGAATAATCTGGAAGCCACAGCAAGCAAAAGGAAATTACTGACCTTCCCTCTGGGCCTGTGACAAGAGGCCTGTGGGAGGAACGGCAGCTGCAGTTGAGGGCTGTGGGGAAGCCGTGTCCTGGAGAGCAAGGCGGGACAGAGAGCAGCTGCCAATCAGGGCAGGCACAGGGGCGCAGCTGTCGGGGGGGTGCCACGTGGGCCACAGTGAGGGTGTGCTGGGAGCGCGGTAGATGAGGGACAGGAGCCCAGGCTTCTTGCGGTACTGACAGAGCAGCGGGTGCGAAGTGAGGTTGGTCCTGGCGGAGCCACACAGATGGTTGTTGAGCGTCTCGAGGACCCAGCTGAGGAAGTCGAGCATACTTGAGGCAATGGGTGTTATTTTAAGAACTCGTTCCCAAGTGTCTAGATTCCCTCTGGACCTTGTGCGTGGCGCTGAAGCAAGGGAGGGTTTTGGGGGGGGTGTGTGTGTATGCGTGTGTGTGTGTATGCGTGTGTGTGTATGTGTATGCGTGTGCGTGTGTGCGTGTGTGTGTGCGTGCGCGTGCCTGTGTGCGCGCGCGCGTGTGTGCGCGCGTGTATGCGTGTGTGTATGCGTGTGTGTGCGTGTGTGTATGTGCATGTGTGTGTATGCATGTGTGTATGCGTGTGTGTGTGCACGTGTGTGTGTATGCGTGTGTGTGTATGCGTGTGTGTGTATGCGTGTGCACACATGCAGCACTATGATAACGCAGCAGGGGAGTTAGGTGATTGCTTAAAGCACGAGTGTATAGGGAAGAAACAAAGGCAGGAGGGGCCATCGAGGAGCCTGTAGAGTGTTTGGGTCTGGGGCTCACATTTGTACAGAGTGAGCTGACACTGGCCTGAGTGAGGAGTGAGGCAGCTCTAGGTGGGGCAGTTCTAGTGGGTGGCCCTGGAGAGCACGAGAGAGCCCTTGGGTGAAGGATGTCACCAAGGAGGACAAGGTGTGGGGCTGGAGGGCCAGGCTGTTGGACTTGCCCGGAATGATGATGGGACCTGGGTGGAGAGAGCAGTGTGTACGTGGTGCTGGGTGGGACATAGGGCAGCCACCGTGACTAGGAGTTGAATGAGGGGCCTCCAGCTGGGTGTGTGAAGAGAGGTCTGGGGTCACCCCTGGTCAGTGGGACCCCAGTGTGGCCCCTGCCCTGAGGTTTGTGACCCAGGGCAATAAGTGCCTCCAGGTAGAAAGCAGCAGGTGAAGGGCTGGTGTCACTGAGAGCGTGTTCAGGGGAGAGGCGGAGGCCCTGAGGGTCCTTGTCCAGTAGAGGGCATGGTGAGGCTGTGGGGGGTGGGAGGCCAGGTGTGGACCAGGAGGCCTGGGCAGTACAGGGATGTGGGGAAGCTGGGTGGGGGTGGAGGACGAGGCTCACAGGGACTCAGGCCTGGAGGGGCAGCACAGGGATGTGGGGAAACTGGGTGGGGAGGGAGGGCAAGGCTCACAGGGACTCAGGCCTGGAGGGCTTGCAGAGGACACTGCAGACAGTCCGTCTTAGCTTCAGTGGGTAGCCTGAGATGCTGTTCTAGAGATGGTTGGTGATTAGATTCTTCTCTGCTGACCTGTGACACAGTTTCAGATGCCTGGGATTGATGAAAAGGTGTGACTGATAGAGCATTTCTAATTTAATCTAATTTCTTTTTATTTAGATCAGGGAGTGGTAAAACCGTCTCAAATGTGATTGTAGAGTCGCACAATTCTGACAATGAAGAGGATGATCAATTTGTGGTGGAAGCTGCCCCTCAGCTCTCTGAAATGTCAGAAATTGAAATGGTTAGTTAACCGAAATGTGGTGTTTTTTTAATAACAATGTTTTACCTACATTGAGATTAATATTCTAGCTTTTAGATTTATGTAGACAAAAATGTCCTATAATTTTTCAGTTAGTTTTTTACCTTTGTTAATTTTGTTGTTCCTTTTTTGAGATCCACAGAAGCATGATTTTTAGAATTCAGCAAGCCTGAATCTTCTTTTTTCCCCTTCCTTTCCTGCTCAGGTAACAGCAGTGGAACTAGAAGAAGAGGAGAAGCATGGTGAGTCCTGGGCACGAGTGTGCATGCATGTCCATGTGTGTGCGCTTACGCACCTTCTCCACGTGTTCCTGGAAAGGATCCAGTGCAAGGGACTGTTGTGTGCCAGGTTCTGGTCTGGGTCACACTGGCGGGGTCACACTGGCGGTACATAGGACGCTGCGGGCATGGATTCCTCTAAGGCGATGGCTGCTGCTCCCAATCCTTAGAGGAGAGCGGGGGCACTGTTGGAAGCTGGAAACTCACTGGCAACTGTGCTACAGATGACGTCTTGTCTCATCCGTTCGATTAGATTGTGGAAGTAGATGATCTCTGAGGCCCTTCACAAGTCTAGTTCTGGAATATTATTGTTGGTTTTCTAGCTGTACAACTCAGAAGTGCAAACCCTGCTCCCCACACCAGGGTTTGAGTGTCCTGGAGCACGGTTTCTGCAGAAGAGGCAGGCTGAGTACTTTCCTTTATAGATGTGTTCTCATAATATGACTTTGTTTCCTGGCACCCATCACAGGTGACATATGAGGGCTTGTTGGTTTTGGGGGTTTTTTTTGGTATCTATATGAAGCCACAATTTTTTTTTTTTTTGGGGCGGAGTCTCGCTCGTCACCCAGGCTGGAGTTCAGTGGTGCGATCCCAGCTCACTGCAACCTCTGCCTCCTGGGTTCAAGCGATTCTCGTGCCTCAGCCTCACAAGTAGCTGGGACTACAAGCGTGCACCACTATGCCTGACCAATTTTTGTATTTTGAGTAGAGACAGGATTTCGCTTCGTTGGCCAGGCTGGTGTCCAACTCCTAACCTCAAGTTATCCACCCGCCTTGGCCTCCCAAAGTGCTGGTATTACAGGCATGGGCCACCGTGCCCGGCCTAGTCACGGATTTTTAACATAGTGGATGTGTTTCATTTCAGCCCATCTCAATTTTTCTTATTAATGTTCAGATTGCCCAGTATTTGACCAGGGGAGCCTATTGGAGTTATTTTCTGGGGGCCTTTAGACACAGCCCAGTACACTCTTTAGCTTCCTTGTTTTCTGATACAACAAGGCGTTTCCGGCTTGTTTTGTGTACTTCGTGCCCTGTAACTGCCTCATTTCTCCAAGGCACCCGGCCGCTTACTGCTCTGGGTTGCTTCTTGTTTCCAGGCATTTTCACTGCAAAAGCAGGGATATACTATTTTTTTTTTTTTTTGAGATGGAGTCTTGCTCTCTTGCCCAGGCTGGAGTGCAGTGGCGCGATCTGGGCTCACTGCAAGCTCCGCCTCCCGGGTTCACGCCATTCTCCTGTCTCAGCCTCCTGAGTAGCTGGGACTACAGGCGCCGGCCACCTTGCCCGGCTAGTTTTTTGTATTTTTTTTAGTAGAGACAGGATTTCACCGTGTTAGCCAGATGGTCTCGATCTCCTGACCTTGTGATCCGCCGTCTCGGCCTCCCAAAGTGCTGGGATTATAGGCTTGATCCACCACGCCCGGCCAGGGATATACTTTTTTAAAATAAGAAAGTTTATTCTGACTTCATGATGATATTTTCAATTCCGATTTAGGATTGTAGGGTTTTGCCTGCATTCTTTGGTTTTATATGTGCATCTCTTCCATCTCATGCCAAAAAGCCTGGCTCCCAGCAACAGCAGCTGTCCCCATGCTTTATGATCCTTCATATGCACACACAGCAATTTTGGAACACCACCACCGGTTTTTAACAACAGTAGGATTACTGGAAATGCTGAAGGATTTTATTTAATTTTAATTTTTAATTTTTATTTATTTATTTTTGAGATGGAATCTCGCCCTGTCATCTAGGCTGGAGTGCAGTGGTGTGATCTTGGCTCACTGCAACCTCCACCTCCAGGGTTCAAACAATTCTCCTGCTTCAGCCTCCCAAGTAACTGGGATTATAGGCGCCTACCACCACACCCAGTTTTTTTTTTTTTTTGTATTTTTGGTGGAGACGGGGTTTCACCATGTTGGCCAGGTTGGTCTCAAACTCCTGACCTCGCCAGCCCAAGGATTTTTTTTTTTTTTGGTAGGTGGGTCTTCCTCTTTGTTGGGTATATCCTATTAGGGATATATAGTCAGTTTCCGTTTTAAAGTTGTGAAACAATTCTTCTCTAGTGGCACATGCTTGCCAATTGGATATCACTAAGTTTATTTCATTTTGCATTCAACCTTTAGGCATTAGTGTTTACCTTTTTAATGTAATATAATTCACATGATTTTAAGGTCAGATGTGCAAAACCAGGTATAATCAGAAATGTGGGGCTTTGACCCCTGTCTCCTCTACCCTCTACTCTCCCTGTCTCCTCTACCTTCTACTCTCCCTCTCCCTGTAGGTAACAGTAAAAAATAGGGTTTATGCTTACAGTTGAAAAACAAATAAATAGATACATATGCACGTGCATGTGTATTTATTGATATCTACACTTATTTCCATCTTGCTCTTCTTTTTAATTTGACAGTAGATGCAGGCATTCATTCTGCAGCAATGCAGATAAATCATCCTCATTTGTCTTCACAGCCACATGGTCCTCCACTGTGTGGACGCACCCTCATTGATTCAGTCAGCCTCGAGCTGATGCATGCTTGGGTAAAACACTATTCCAAAAAACTTCATATGATATTTATCCCATGAGTAAATTCTGAAAGAAATGGAAAAATTCTTGCCCCAATGTAAAAGAAGTATCAGTACTTAGAAGCATTTCTTAATTGTTATTTCTTTTTGTAATAGATGGCTGTATTTTTGGATGTCAAGCTACATTCCTTCTTAATCTTTGAAAATAGAAAATCTGTTTTATTTCTAAAGCTTTTTACTTTTCAAGGAGCTGATTTCCCTGAAACACTTTGAAATTTGATAATTTCCACTACCAGCTGTCGTGTCACTCTTGTATACTATCTCCTTAACAAATAAAGATTATTTGAAACTGTTTCAGCATAAAAAGAGATAGGATAAAAACTTAGTGTTTTTCTCACCATCCCACCCATTTGGAATAGGTTTTTGGGGTAGAGAATAAACTTTTAACATAAAATCACTGATTTTTCAACAGGTGGACTTGTGAAAAAAATTTTGGAGACGAAGAAAGATTATGAGAAATTGCAGCAGTCACCCAAACCTGGGGAGAAGGTAATGGAATGATTTCCGTAAACACTGGCATTTTAGCAGTCTGTTTCATACATTTACAAACTTACAAATTAGAACATCTTTCAAATATTGCCATTATTAATGATGTCTGTTTGCATATTTAAATGCCATTTCTGGCCAGGCCTGGTGGCTCACACCTGCAATCCCAGCACTTTGGGAGGCCAGCGCAGACAGATTACCTGAGCCCAGGAGTTCGAGACCAGCCTGGGCAACATGGCGAAACCCTGTCTTTACAAAAAATACAAAAATTAGCCAGGTGTGGTGGCACATGTCTGTAGTCCCAGCTACTTGGGGGGCTGAGGCAGGAGAATCGCTTGAACCCAGGAGGTGGAGGTTGTAGTGGATCGATTGTGCCACGGCACTGTAACCTGGGTGACAGAGTGAGACCCTGCCTCAGAAAGAAACAAAAAATGCCATTCCTCCCTCCTCCCAGTTGGGAGGATATAAAGTGTGGGACTCTCTGTATGGGGCTGCTTCCCTGGCCTGGTATCCAGCCCCGTCTTGGGAGGGGGCAGTGGCTTGCTTGGAGCTCAGGAGCCAAGAGCCAAAGGCCTGTTGGGCTCTAACTCCCTGACCCTCCCCTTCTGGCCTTGCCCATCCCTTCTCCCAGGTCCCGTCTGCAGAATGGGAGGCTGGCTGCCTGGCCCTGGCTGATTACAAAGAGACTGGGAATGTTTTTAAGTCTTTTTGAAATATGCGTTCTATTGTACCTGGCTCCCTGCAGTCCCCCTCACACATGTGTGATGTGCTTTTGTTGGGACCTGTGGCTTCTTGCCAGCCACTATCCTTTCCTTGGGCAAATGACCACTGGGGCGGCCACCTGTGGGCCAGCAGGGTGTGTCTCAAATGCCACAGCCAGCTTTCTCTTATAGTCACTTTAAAGAGGAAGAATAATTTTTTTTCTTTTAAACAGAAGTTTCTTGGATAGTTAGCCTAATAACAATTTAAAAAAGTTTTATATATAGGTGTGTGTGCACACACGTGTACACACACATGCACACATATACATATCTTTCCCCAGCTGAATTAATGGTTGTTTTAGATAATTCTGCTTAACATGTCCTAGTTTGTCATGAAGCTAGGGCCTGAAATAGCCAATGAGAACTGTACAATTGAGACTAACAGTAGAGGGAGCCCTTTTAACAATAAAAACTGGAGAATGTCGATAGAGGCTTTGCTGACAGCACCACTATTTGCCTTGCTGAAAGGAGAAATGCCTTCTGCAGTTTGTTTCTCATCGATGGAATGTTAATACATTATAGTTCTTTCTGTATGCATGAGGGGTTGTCCTGGTGTCACTGGTGGTATTTCTGAGACCCAGTCGAAAACCCTGAATGTGTCCCTCCAGGCTCCTAGTGGAGGTCACCTTTGAAGCATCCATTTGTTTAAATTTTGTAGCTATGATTTTTACGCAGGCATATTAGGATTGTGTTTCAAAGTATCCCCGGGAGAGTAAATTATTTCAGATTGGTAAATCTTTTGGATTCAGAGGATAAAAGGAAAAGTGTCCTTTTTTGGTCAACATCTACTGTTTTGGAAAAAAGTAGGTAGTGAGAACTTCAAAGTCAGGGGTGATGTATGTTACAGTTAGGGGAAAATCAGCAAGTGTCTGTATGATTTTCTTTAGGCTATTGATAAACATCAGACTTAAATTTAACTTGTTGGTCTTCTTAAAACATTTTTGTTACTTTTTTTTTTTTGAGATGGAATTTCGCTCTGTCGCCCAGACTGGAGTGCAGTGGCTCAATCTCGGCTCACTGCAAGCTCTGCCTTCCAGGTTCACACCATTCTCCTGCTACATTTTTTTTTTTTTTTTAATAAACAAAAATGTGGTCAGGCGCGGTGGCTTACACCTGTAATCCCAGCACTTTAGGAAGCCAAGGTGGGTGGATTGCTTGAGGCCATGGGTTTGAGATCAGCCTGGCCAACATGGCCAATCCCCTTGCTACTAAGAATACGAAAATTAGCTGGGTATGGTGGTGCACACTTGCAGTCCCAGCTACTCAGGAGGCTGAAGCACGAGAATCACCTGAGCCCAGGAAGCAGAGGTTGCAGTGAGCTGTGATTGCACTGCTGCACTCCAGCCTGGATAACAGAGCAAGACTGTCTCAAAAAAAATCATGTAGGAAGAGCCAAAGTCCTTTTTCCCCCTGCTCCAGTCCCTTCCCTGAGGGCAGTCCCCAGGATGAACTTGGTGTGTATCTCTATTTTGCATGTGCCTCGTGTTGTTTAGTGAGTTTCTAATGTCACCTTAGTGTTGATCCATTATGCAGGTCGCTTTCTTCATGCAGCATTTTTCTCTCTCTCATGTTTTGATACTTGTAGATGTAGTTTATTCATTTTAATTGAAGCCTTATAGTCCATTATTTGCTTATTAATTACTCTATTGATGGACATTTAGGTTTTTCAGCCATTTCCTTTCATAAACAATGCTTCCATGGCTCTTTTCCATGCCTCCTAGCTTTCAAGAGCCAGTGTCTCTTCCAGCAAGAATCAGGTCACTTTCTGTGAAGGGCTGGATAAAAATACTTCAGGCTTTTTGAGCCAGATGGTCTCTTGCAACTATTGAATTCTGCCAATGTCACAGGAATGCAGCCACAGCATTAGACCGTGTAAATGAACATGTGTGGCTGTATTCAATAAAACGTACTTTACAAAAACAAGGTCCAGGCTGTGGGCTATAGTTTACTGATTTCAGCTTTGGGGGCTATGCCCAGGCTTAGAAGTGCTGTGCCAGGAAGTACACAGATCTTTAGTTTCACCAGATAGGCCACTTTCCTCCTCAAAGCGGCTGTACCAATTTATCCTCCCAGTAGAATGAATGTCTGTTTCCAAACATCCGTGCCAACAACAGTCAAGATAGTGAACACACTCATCTCATCACCCTCCAGTGTCATGTGCCCTTGGTGAGCCCATCCTCCAGCCCATCTCCGTGTTCGCCTTTCCCCACCCCCCACCCCCAGCAGCCACTCTGCTCTGGTTCACTGTGCTTTAGTTTGCATTTCCTAGAATTGTGTTTAAATGGAATCATGTGATGTGCACTCTTTTGAGGTTTTTTTTTTGGTCTGGCCATTTTTACTCAGCATAATTATTCTGAGATTTATCCATGTTGTTGCAGCATGTATCCATAGTTTGTTTGTTTTTATTGCTGAGTAGTATTCCATTGTATGGATATACCACAGTGTGTTTCATCCATGTATCAGTTGATGAACATTTGAGTTGCTTCTAGTTTGGACTATTATAAATAAAGCTGCTGTGAACATTCATGTTCACGTCTTTGTGTTGACAGATGCTTTCATTATGTTGTGTCAATACAGTAGAACCCCTCTTATTTGCAGGGGATATGTTCCATGACCCCTAGCAGATGCCTGAGACTGTGGATAGTACCAAACCCTGTATATACCATGTTTTTTCATGATACGTTCTGATGATAAAGTTTACTTTATGAATTAGGTTCAATAAGAGATGGACAATAACTGATATTAAACAGAACAATTTTAACAGTATGTCAGCATCACTCCATTGTACTTCGGGGCCATTCTTAAATAAAATAAGGGTTACTTTCACACAAGCACTGGGATACTGCTAGCGTCTAGACTGTCTGATAACTGAGAGGGCTACCAAGTGACTTAACAGGTGGATGGTGTATACGGTGTGTATATATATTGGACAGAGGGATGACTTATGTCCTCGGCGGAACTGTGCAAGATTTGATCACACTACTCAGAATGGCATGCAATTGAAAACTTATGAATGAATTGTTTATTTCTGGAATTTTCCATTTAATATTTTCAGACTGCAGGTAACTGAAACTGCAGAAAGTGAAACTATGGATGGGGATAGGACTGTTATACCTAGGAGTGGGTACTGCTGAGGCATATGGTAAATGTGTGCTTAACTTTTTAAGAAACTGCCAGACTATAGGGCTGGGTGCTGTGGCTCACACCTGTAATCCCAGCCCTCTGGGAGGCTGGAGTGTGAGGATCACTTGAAGCCAGGATTTTAAGACCAGCTTGTGCAACGTAGGGAGACCCTATCTCTACAAAAAAACAAAAACAAAGATTGCCAAACTGTGTTGCAAAGTGGTTGTATCATTTCGCATTCCTACCAGCAGTGTGTAAGAGTTTCAGTTCCTTCACATCCTCGTCAGCACTAGGTATGGTCAAACTGTAAAATTTTTCAGCCGGGCACGGTGGCTCACACCTGTAATCCCAGCACTTTGGGAGGCTGAGTTGGGCAGATCACGAGGTCAGGAGATTGACCCCATCGTGGCTAGCATGGTGAAACTTTGTCTCTACTAAAAATACAAAAAATTAGCTGGGCATGGTGGCACATGGCTGTCATCCCAGATACTCAGGAGACTGAGGCAGGAGAATTGCTTGAACCTGGGAGGCAGAGGTTACAGTGAGCTGAGATCACATCACTGTACTCCATCCTGGGCGACAGAGTGAGATTCTGTCTCAAACAAAAATTTTTTTTCATAGTTGTAATTTGCATTTCCTTAATGGCTAATGATGTTGAATATCTATCCTATGGTTGTATGTATATAATATATAAGCCCTTGTGTCTCATATGTTGTAAATATTTTTCCAGTCTATCACTTGTCTGACTTTGCCTTTTTATTTAAAAAACTTTTTTTTTTTTTTGAGACAGAGTCTGGCTCTGTTGCCCAGGCTGGAGTGCAGTGGTCCGAATCTCAGCTCACTGCAACCTCTGCCTCCCAGACTCAAGTGATCCTCCCACCTCACTCTCCCGAGTAGCCGGGACTACAGGCATACGCTACCACACCTGGCTAATTTTTGTATTTTTTGTAGGGGGGTTTTGCCATGTTACCCAGGCTGGTCTTGATCTCCCAGGCTCAAGTGATCCTTCTGCCTTGGCCTCCCAAAGTGAGCCACTGCACCTGGCCAAACGTTTCTATTTTGATGTAAAATTTAAACAGCCTTTTCTTTATACGTTATTTATTTATTTTTTCTTTTTGT